GGCCGTCGACACGAACGGAACGCGCGAGTCTCATGCAATATGTCGCGAGAAGCATTCTGAACCCTATACCCGTAGCGCGAGTGCTTGTAACGCGGATCGGCTGTAGTCGTCAGTTACCGTGAAAACCGACGCGTCGGCAAGATTCGGCTGGCAGGCCAAATAATGCTCGTCGCTGAACGCTGAGTTTGGCTGGTTGTCCGTTTTTAGGGTTGCGTTTCTGCGTGTCAGCATTAGACATTATTCACTATGTGAGGGTGCGGCTTACGTCTTCCTTCGTCTCCTCTGTTTCTCTGGGATTCATTCTAGACACTGTCGTTGCTAGCAACAAAATATTTCAAGAGACGTCTGGCGTCGGCGGAACGACGTCATGACTCCTCAGTGTCTAGAGTCGTTCAGGCGACTTGTTTTAGCTTCATGCTGCATATAGAACCGTCGGCACGTTGTCGTGGTGTGATGGGTGTTCTCGTGGTGCTTTTGTCGTTGATTATCTGTACCCTGACCAGCCGCCGCCCTGCCGTTGCGCATTTACTTTCACCTTGCGTCTGTCATGTCGAGGATTTCCTTGCTAGTCGAGACGAATTCGGGGTTACCAATTTGCCGCCCTTTTTTTCCCCTCCCCTTCCCCCCCTTCCCCCGTCCTCCCCAACCCTCTCCCCCCGTTCCTTCTCTCCCCAACCATGGCGCGCATTTTGATTCCGTTATCTCCCGATCAGCCAAGCTCCGGGTGCACGAGCTCCGCGGCAAGAGCAAGACGGAGCTGCTCAACCAGGTAAGCTTTCGTGCGGGACCGATGCTGTTTGTTTGAAGATGTCTCATAACATGTTGATTGTTTTGAGACGTCTCGAAACACGTCTCAAAACTCGAGACGTCTCACAACTCGGCAGGAGCAACTCGGCCAAGGCTTGCGGGTGGGGCGGAGATCGGGCTTTCGCATGGTCGTTTTTCCCGCGAGTGAGGGTGGGGCCTGGGATTAGTTTACCAGTAGTCGGGGGGTTGACAGCGAGAGAGAGGATGGTGCTTATCAGCTAGGTGGGTGGCATGCGGAAGAGAGGCGAGGCGGACGGAGTGAGGGAGGGTTAGGCGGAAGTGGTGGGTGAGGCGGGAGCGCAAGGCGCTGCCTGCAGATGGCGGAGGGTGCGATGAAGCGGAGAAGGTTTTGGGGCCGGAGGAATGCGATGAAGGGGATGCTAGAAGCGAAGAAATGCGATGCCTTGGCGACGGAAACGATTGTAGGCGACGCGCGAAATCTTGGAAGCTGGATGAAAGGGCTTTCTCCAGTCATTTTTAGCCCCGTCCTTGATCCCCCTGTTCTATCACTTTCTCTCCCCCGATCTCGGGCCCCATCTGACACCGCATGATATGCATGCTCTTGCCGCGTTTCATGGCCCAGCTCTTGTCTCCACCGGTTGATTTCGTGGGCTAGTGTAGCAGTGTCAGTTCCCCCTGCCCACCCTTCCTCTCGCTCCACCCCTCTCTCTTCGCCTTATCCCCACTCGGTCTCCTCCCCTCTCTTCCTTCGTGCCGCGACCCCATGGTTCCTCCCGAGCGCACGTGAATGATCTGAAGGCTGAGCTGGCAGCGTTCCACGTGCGCGGCGAGCAATCGATCTCCTCCTCACTCTTCTTCTCCCCTGCCCCCTCGCTTCCCTCCGAGCTCCTCTCCTTTTCTCCCCGAGCGCAGCTGAAGGAGCTCAAGACTGAGCTGGCAGCGCTGCGCGTGTCCAAGGTCACTGGTGGCGCGCCCAACAAGCTCTCCAAGATGTGAGAGCACCTGATTGACTTGATGAATGTCACTCCCGCGACTTTTAACGTCTCACAAGCTGTCAAAGATGGACTCCTGTCATCGTGTTCTTTTATGTTCTGACCAATGTTTTTGACCTATTCCTCCGCCTTTCCCCCTCGCTCATTAACGCACTCTGTCCCTCTCCTCCCTGCCTCCCCCCCTCTCTCCTACTCCCCGTCCACGTTCCGCTGCGCCTGTACCTGTCCGCGCGTCCCCCGATCTTTCCCCGCGCTTCCCCCTTCTCTTACCCGTCCCCCCCGCAGCAAGGTGGTGCGCAAGTCGATCGCGCAGGTGCTGACGGTCATCAACCAGACGCAGAAGGCGAACCTTCGCGCCGCGTTCGCCAAGAAGAAGTACGCGCCGCTCGACCTAAGGCCCAAGAAGACCCGCGCCATCCGCCAGCGCCTCACCAAGAGACAGGTATGACGGCGCGCGCACGCATGGGTTTTGACGGCTTGCTGGTTGGCTTGCCGTCAGGCCGGCTGATTCCGTGCAGGATTGGCTGGTTAGTGTGGAAAGGTGGAGGTGATAAGAGTGTCGTGGTGATGGATGATTAAGGAAACAGAGTTTCCAGCTGGTCCGTAGGCAGGTTTGGTTGGCCTGCCTTGGTCTGCTAATTGTGTGTGTCTGCACGTGCGGTGAATGTGTGCAAGTGAGGGGTTGGGTAAGGGTTGGGGGGAGGGCGAAATTGTCGAGCTAGTTAGGGGAATTGCCATGCCTGGTTTGCATGATTAACCAACACCTGTAATTATGCTAACCTCTAACGACGTTGCTCTTGTGGTGACGTTTGTTCCTGTGTCTCTGCTGTTCAATCTGGTCAGCTTCTCATTCCAGTTGGGTTGCTGTTCTCTAGTGATCCTTACTCATCCCTATCTTGCGTTCCGCTTTGCTGTATCTCCCCGTTATTGTGCCAGTCTGAGCTCACGACAGCGAGGGAGGCCAGGAGGCTTAAATACTTCCCCCAGCGCAAGTTTGCCCTCAAGGCTTGAAGCCATTCAACATGATATGAACTTTGTGGCAATCGTGATGTATGGTTGGGTCAGTGTCACCCCTTCTATTGGGCCTGTGTACGGTTGTGTAGAGGATGATTTCATATTGCTAGTTCTAAAGGGTTCTCACACAAGCCGATACTAAAATGAAAATTATTCCTGGAGGCTTTTGAAGTTCTGCACCTCTGTGAGGTAAGTCTTTGATGCCTTAATATATTAGCTTTCGAATTTAACAGTTTTCAGCTACACTGTCAAACGAACGTGCAGTGCATGCCTGGTATCACCTGCTTTCTGAATAAGTCCGTTGACCCTATTGTCCGACCAAACCAGCGCCTTCCTTTCCGCCTTAACTGTATTTGTCCCTCGGCTGGACAGCTGAGATTGGCTGTGTTTGTGTGCAGTATCCCACAAGCGGGACGTGGCTCCGTCTCGGTTCGGACTCTCCCAGTGACCATCAGCGGTGTGTTTGAACTGAAAATGTGGCCCAACCAACCTCGGGCTTTTTTCGAGTTGGTCCGCCCGGTACAAACGAAATGCATTGGATTAAAAAATAACTGGCCAGTATTTCTCTGAGTTGATGCTGGTATCTTGTACCTATCAAGCTTATTCTCAGGACATCTTTTTTAACACGGGTTATGGGTGCTCTCCCACACATCTGTCGTCTTCTTCCGTGTCTTTCCTCGCGTTTCGTTCGCCTCTCCCCAGTCAAGTTGCGCGAGTTGGCTCTCGTCCCCCCCTCCCTCCCCTCATCCTCAGCTGCTGCTGCCGCTGTTCCTCTCCTCGACTTCCATTCGCTCCTGCTTGGTTGCTTGCTTCTTCGCCTCGTCGCCATAAGCACACCAAACCTGCTCGTTTGCTTCGTGAATTTTGTTTGTGTTCCATGGCAAGAGCAAGAGGAACCCATATCGTACAGGTGCTTCCAGTGACTTCGTTTCTTCCTCTGTTCGATGGTCACTGCAGTTTCTCCATACCGTATTAGTTTTTTAATTTCCGCGAGCTGCGCTGTTGCCCATCGTCTAGTAGCACTATCAACGTAGTATGGAAAATCTGCGACGATGCATTTTCTAGTTTGTAAGACCCGAACGTCCTCTGGTTTAGGTTACTTGCTAGTAACCTTTCGAAATTAATAAGACCCATTAAGGAAAAGCTATACGCTTTACGTACATTTGGAGCCAAAAAGTCCCAACCTCGCCTCCAGAAGAACGTGCGCTCGAAAGTAAACCTCGTTTATTTGCAACAATTCGATATCATCTGGTGCAAAGAGTGTCATACATGGAGGAATCGAAGCGCTCCGCACCGCAAACACGCTGGAAAGCAGGAGGAGCAGAGGGAAAAGTTAAGCCGAGCGAAGGTCGGTTTAACGACTCAGATGCGCCATATACCCTTCAGGAATCTTTTACCTTCTCACCAGAACCGGCGAATGCGGAGCGGCGAGATGCAGGCGACCGTGCGATGGTGGATTTGCGACCGCAATCGTCGCCACCAGCCGTCGCCTCGTCGCGGCAGGCGTCGCAACGGTCGCAAGAGAGCGGGGCGGCGATGTCGAGCATGCAAGAGTGGGCGCACGGTGTGGCAATGGCGGCCGCGGTGCTTCAGTGTAGCTCTCAACACACAAGCGGAACACTTGCACGCGGTCAAGAAACCGCGCGCGTATCAGCGCGGGGACAAGGGCAAGCGCAAGGGCAAGGAGAGACAGCGCAGCAGCGTCACTATGCGCGGCCTGCTTACCCCCGTAGCCGCAGCACGAGCGCGACAACGGGGCCGCGCACCGGCGCCTCTTCCGCGCTTCCGCCGTTTCCGCAGAGCGCGTACCATTCCGCGCATCCGCACCATCCCCAGCACCAACAGAACCAGCAACGACACATTGAATCGGCAACGCAAGTGCAGGAGCAGTCGCGTACAGAGTCGCAGTCGGGAGCGCAGATGCGGCCACAGTCGCAGTCGCAATCGCAGTCGTCGTCGCCGTCGCAGTCGCCGTCGCAGTCGCAGAAGCAAGCGAGCCTGCTTCCGCCACCGCAAGAGGAGGACAGCGATGGTGGCAGTTGCGACGGCGGCGGCGACGGCGGTGGCGATGGCGGTGGCGGCGGTGTCGCTCCAAACAAAATTAACCCTGCCAGAGGCGTTGCGCCAGTAAGCGGCGCGCAACCGCGGCTGTTAGCCCGGCGGGGCGCAGGCGGCACGCGCGCACCCGCGTGGGTAAGCAGGCGCACGCTGAGCCTACCGGAGCGCATGCAGCGAATGGACGCTGTTGTAGGGGGAGGAATCGGCGCAGGGGGCGGAGTCGGCGCAGGGGCAGGCGGGGATGGGGAGGCCGGCGCGGGCGGCGGATCGGGCGAAGGGGATGGCGGGATTGGAGGAGCGCCAGGCGAAGCAGGTTCTCCGGCCTGTGCCAATGGGAGCGCAACGGTCGAGGCAGCTTTAGACGCGGCCATAAAATCCGCCGTCGCAGCCGCCGCCTCCGTCGCCGCAGCTGGCGCGGAAGGATCGCCTGTTGCGGATTGCGCAGCTGGAACCCCCGCCCCGGGCGGTGCGGCGGCTTCGGCGGAAGCTCCGCCAGGTGGAGGCGCGGAGGAAGATGGTCCGCGGCACGCCCACAAGTCGCTCTCCACGGGAACGACCGTGGCCCCTGTGGGGAGTCGCAGCGCGGGGCGGCGCGAGGCTATCACAGTGAAGAAGCTTCGGGCAGCGAAAGTTTCTAAGCTGCCCAGTTTCAACCACGAGGTGAGGGCGCGGTTGTCCTGTCTTGCGATTTGATGTGCCGTATCGGCGATAGAGATCAGAGTTCGTTTTTGCCTTCTTTCTTGTTTATTACTGTTTTGTCGGGGCTTCCTTTTGCAAAAAGATACATGCTTGTGAATTTGAACGGATAATGTTTCACGCATCCAACTCTGCTTTTGCGTGGAAAGGAAAAAAATCAATAAAAGGACTCAAACCTGCCCCCGCCCATCCCCACCCAATCCCCCTTTCCATTTCCCCTTCCCCGGGCAGCCAATCATCCCCTCCACAACCCCCGAATTTAACGAATGGGAAAAACCCGCCACTCCCCCCAGCGACCACCACTACCAGCACTACCACCAGTACCACAACCAACAGCAACACCACCACCAGCAGAACCAGCACAACCAGCAGCAGCACGGGTACCCGCCAGTATCCCCACCATCGTTGGACGACCCAGCGTCGTTCAGCCATCCGCCGCAGTTCAGCTGGCATGAGGAGGCGCGCGGGTCGCAGTCCATGGGTCCGCGCACAGGCAGTGGCGCTGCGGTCGTGGCCGCCCGGCGCTCGTTCAAGTACACGCAGCAGTTCCAGCAGCGCGGGGAGCAGCCGCGGTTCGGACAGGTGTGTGTGTGTGTGTGTGTGTGTGTGTGTGTGTGTGTGTGTGTGTGTGTGTGTGTGTGTGTGTGTGTGTGCGTGTATTTGCGTGTGTGTAGTTTGAGTTGACTGATAATACGCATGGATGCAATGACGCACGTTCAAGTACTCGCAGCAGCTCCAGCAGCACGGAGAGCAGCCGCTGTTTGGACAGGTGGGTGGGTGCTTGTGTGTGTGTGTGTGTGTGTCTGTGTGTGTGTCTGTGTGTCTGTGTGTCTGTGTGTGTGCGTGCGTGCGTGCGTGCGTGCGTGTGTGTGTCTGTGTGTCTGTGTGTCTGTGTGTCTGTGTGTGTGTGTGTGTGTGTGCGTGCGTGCGTGCGTGCGTGCGTGTGTGTGTGTGTGTGTGTGTGTGTGTGTGTGTGTGTGTGTCTGTGTGTGTGCGTGCGTGCGTGCGTGTGTGCGTGCGTGCGTGCGTGCGTGCGTGCGTGCGTGTGTGTGTGTGTGTGTGTGTGTGTCGCTTCCTCACTCTTCCCTTCTCCCTCAAAGCGCATGCGCACACAAACCAACACGCACGCGCACCGCCGCATGCAGAAACACTGGAAAGTCCGCATGTGTATGCGAGCGCGTGAACACGCACAAGCACACCCTCACTCACTCATGCATAAACCTACTCACTCACCCACACACTCACTCATTAACTCACCCACCCACTCACTCGGACGTTCCCTTCCCCACCCCTGGCCCATCAACAGAAGAAGCCTCAACTGCAAGCATCCACAGACGAACTCTCCACAGCCACTCTCCCCGCTTCCACCGCTCGCCTCACTCCCTCCTCTCACCCCTCCATCAACCACCCCTCCTCCTCCTCCCCGCACCAGCAAGCGGCCATTAATCCCCCCTCCCCCAATCAGCACCTCTCCCCCGACCCTGCCGCTTGCCCCCAGCCTGAATCTCCCCTCGACCGCTCCCCTTCCGCCCAGGTCACGTCGTCCGCCCAGAGGCAGGGGCAGGGGCAGGGGCAGGGGCAGGGGCAGGGGCAGGGAGAGGGGCAGGAGCAGGCGCAGGGGCAAGGGGTGGGGAGGGGTAAGGGACTGAGGCGTTTCAACGCGTCTCCCTCGTTTCCCCGTCGCCCATATTCCTCCCCCTCCCTTGTCCACCGTTCACCCTCCCCCTCCCTCTACTCACACACCCCGCTGCAACGCCATCATCAGCAACAGCAGCAGCAGCAGCAGCAGCAGCAGCACCAGCACCAGCAACAGCAACAGCAACAGCAACAGCAACAGCAGCAGCCGCCACCGCCGCCGCCGCAGCAGCAGCCACAAGAGGTGATTCAGATGATCCCAGGAGTCTCCTCCTCCTCCCCTCCCAACAACCCATCCCGCTCCCCTACCACGCCACCATACTCCACCCTCCCACACCGCAGCATAATCCCCACAACCTCCCCCACCAATCCCTCTGAAGCAGCTTCTGAACCCTTAACACCTCCAAACCCACCATTATTCCCCACAGCCCCACAACCTCTCCCTTACCAAAGCATCATACCCACGGCTTCCCCCGCCCTGTCCTCCTCTCCCACTTTCGAACCTCTGAATCGAGCTCCACCGCACTCCACCGTGCCCGGCCGTACCGTCCCTCGCACAGCCTCCGCACCGCACCCAGAACCAGCCGGGGAGACCCTGAGTGGGCTCAACCCACCGTACTCAACCCTTCCCCACCGCAGCATCATCCCCACGGCGTCCCCTGCCCATTCTTCCGGGCTTGGGCGAAGGCCTAGCTCTGCTCGGCGCGCTCACACACAGCAAGGAGTAGCGGATCGTGTAGGTGGTGGCACTGGCACTGCAACTGCATATACAAGCAGTGCTGTGATGAGTCGGCCGGTGGTTCGCAGTGCTTCGGCTGATAGAGCGAGGGGAGGGGTGGTGAGGGGAGAGAGGGAGAGGGAGGGCGAGTGGGAATGGGTGAGGGGGGGGGAAGGGGAGTGGGAGAGAGTGAGGGGGAGGGAGGGGGCGAGGGAGGGGGCGAGGGGGGGTGCGAGTCCTGCGGTGAGCTTGCCGGATACATGGTGTGGGAGTGGGAGTGGGAGTGGGAGTGGGAGTGGGAGTCGGAGTGGGAGAAGGGTGGTGCTGCAGCAAGGTGTGCAGGTGCAGGGACGCACGCAGGCTCAGGCACAGGAGCAGACAGAGGGAGAGAAGCAGGCACAGGAGGAACTGGAGGTTGGGAAGAGGGGGGTGTGGAGAGAGGAGGAGGAAAGTCACGGGTTTGGGGAGTGGCGGGTGCGGCGGTTGTTTCCGGGGGAGAGTGCGAGGCTAGGAGGAGGAGGAGGGGACGGAGGGGAGGTTGGGGGGGTGCGAGCGGGGGAGGTGCGCTTGGGGGAGGTGCAAACGGGGGAGGTGCGAGCAGGGGAGGTGGAGGCAGGGCGGGGGGAGAGGTTGATGGCAGTGCGATCGTTCTGCAGTGCTCAGGGCTCCTTGCTGATGCACAGTGGATGTCTGGATGGTGGTGGTGGTGCTGCTGGTGGTGATGGTGGTGGTGGTGGTGGTGGTGGTGGTGGTGGTGGTGGTGGTGGTGGTGGTGGTGGTGGTGGTGGTGGTGGTGGTGGTGGTGGTGGTGGTGGTGGTGGTGGTGGTGGTGGTGGTGGTGGTGGTGGTGGTGGTGGTGGTGGTGGTGGTGGTGGTGGTGGTGGTGGTGGTGGTGGTGGTGGTGGTGGTGGTGGTGGTGGTGGTGGTGGTGGTGGTGGTGGTGGTGGTGGTGGTGGTGGTGGTGGTGGTGGTGGTGGTGGTGGTGGTGGTGGTGGTGGTGGTGGTGGTGGTGGTGGTGGTGGTGGTGGTGGTGGTGGTGGTGGTGGTGGTGGTGGTGGCGGTGGTGGCGGCGGCGGCGGCTACGGCGGCGGCGGCGGCGGTGGCGGCGGTGGTGGTGGTGGTGGTGGTGGTGGTGTGGCGAATGCTGCTGATATGGGGGATGATGTTTCTGCCACCACGCCTTGTGCTCCCGCTTCTGCGTCTGCTGCGTCTTCTGCGGTTGCTGCTGCCGCTGCGTTTGCTGCAGAGACAGTGGCAGCAACGGCTGGAAACGAAATGGGTGCTGAGGGGGAAGAAGAGCAAATACAGGCACAGGCAGAGTCACAGGCAGAGTCAGAAGAACAAGCACAAGGAATCTATGAAGCAAATACCCACACCCAACTGCAAGCAGAAGCAGCACAGGTAGCAGCAGCAGCAGCCGCGGCAGCAGCAGCGGGGATGGGGAGTAAAGGTGAAACAGAAGCAGCAGTGAAATTGGAGTGTGGTCAGGAGGAGGAGGACCATCACAGTGCTGCTGGTGAGGCAGAGGCTAGTACTGCCCATTCTGCTTCTGCTGCTTGCGCTGGTGATGGCTCGAGTGTTGTTCATGTTGCTGCTGGCCCTGTTGGTGCTGCTGCAGCAGCCGCTGCTGCTTGTGCTTCTGCTGATACTGTAAAGCCTACTGATGGCAGCGCTGCTGCTGCTGCTGCTGCTGCTGCTGCTGCCAGTAACGCACGCAGCAGCAGCAGGCGGGCGATTTTCACCAAGGGGCGGACGAGACAGGGGAGCTTTGGGCGGGCTGTGGGGAACAGGCGGAGGAGTGGTGGCAGTGGAGAGGGGAGCAGGGATTTTGGCAGTGGGGGCGGTGGCAGTGGTGGTGATGGTGGTGGTAGCTGTGATGGTGGTGGTGATGGTGGTGGTGATGATGTTAGTCAGAGTAGCTTTGGCTTGGATGGTACTGATTTGGGTGAAGGGCTGGTGATTGCAGAGGAGGAAGGGGTGGTGGAGAGTGGTTTCGAGGAGAAGAGATGGGTAGAGGAGGGAGAGGGAGAGGGAGAGGGAGAGGGAGTGGGAGAGGATTCGGGAGGGGGAGTGATGGATGGCAGGTTGCATGGGGATGACAAGGCTGTTGCTGCTGCTGCTGCTGCTGCTGCTGCTACTGTTACATCTGGTGATGTTACAGAGAGGACTGTAGTCCAACGAGTGTGGCATGATGGGTTGGGAAACGGTGGTAACAGCAGCAGCAGCAGCAGTAGCAGAAGCAGAAGCAGCAGGCAAGGCAGCAGGAACGGCAACAGTCATGGCGCTTACGTGCCTATCGTGTGGAACAGCCGAGGGTATTACGATGGCAATGATAACTATGGTGCTGGTGGTGGTAGTTATGATTCCGGTGTTGTTGGTGCTGCTGCTGCTGCTGCTGCTGCTGCTGCTGATGATGATGATGATGATGATGATGATGATGAAAGGAGTGGTGTTCTGTTGAATGAGAAGGATTGGGGAAGTGGAGAGGGGACGATGAGTAGCAAATTCGGAAGGGAGAGGGGTGCTTGTCGGGAGGGGCTAGGGAGAAGGGCTGGCGTGGACAGAAGAGGTGGAGATGAGGGAAGAGAGGGAGAGGGAGACAGGGAGGGAGATAGAGAGGGAGGTAGGGAGGTAGCGGGAGACGAAGGAAATTGGGATGTTGCGGAAACAGAACGAGAGCAACAGAGGGAGCAGCAGAGGGAACAAGAGGGGGAGGAGCAGGGGGGTCTAGGCCGGGAGCAGAGACAGCTACAGCGGGAACCGGCAGGTGGTGTGGCGGAGTGGGCTGGGAGGGAAGTGGACACGGGCGTTGGGGGTAGTCAAGGCAGTCGTCAAGGCCAGGTTTGTAGCAGTGGCAATGATGATCGTGGTGGTGGTGGTGGTGCTGCTGCTGCTGTCTCTGCTGTGGCTGATTGGCAAGGTTCCAACAGTGATTGTGGCGCTGGTTGCGGTGATGCTGGTAGTACCAGTGAGTTTGACAGTTACGACTATTATGCAGTGGGAGGGGAGGGGAAGCAGGGTGAGGAGGGGGGAGAAGAAGCAGGGCAGCAGCAGCAGCGGTCGCCGTATATTGGTGATGGGCAGATAGCTGCTGCCACCGCTGCTGCGGCAGCTGCTGCTTCTGCCGGTGATGGTTACGACTTTTATGATGATTCTGCTAGTGCTGACCACTCTTTTGCATCTGCAGCACAAGGCATCAGAGACCACAGCGGCGGAGCAGAGGAGGCAGAGGCGTCAGGAGCGTATGATAATATCCGGTGGCCGCAGCCTAACCCGAAAATGGCGGCACGTGCAGAGAAGGAGAAGGAGAGGAAGAAGGTACGGTGTGTGCTGAAGTGATGACGGGGAGATTTACAGAGAGGCAGACAGGCAGACAAGCACATTCAGCAATGTCCACTTTCGGATCTGGATTCTATCCCTTTATAGAATACCCTCAAAAGTGATACCATCACACCCAGCAATCCCCACTCTCGTATCTGCCTTTTCTGCTTTGTTCTCCTCGTCTGCGCTCTAGCCCACTGATTTGCATACAATGCTCTGCCCCCCATGCCATACAATGCTCTGCCCCCCACTCTCTAGTAGTTGATTTACCTTCCCACCCCTTTCTGACTACCACTCCATCCCATCCCATCCCACCCATGGCCTTCTGCCCTCCTCCACATCCCTACCAAAGCCTTGGCCTTCTTGCGAGCAAGGTACTGATTGTGGACCGCTGAATTGAGTTGCTGACTAACGTGTTTATTATCTTTCCTGTCTCACCTCCACACCACTCCATCCCATCCCATCCCATCCCATCCCATCCCATCCCATCCCATCCCATTCATGGTCTTTCGCCCTCCTCCTCATCCCTACCAGAGCCTTTGGTTTCTTGTGAGCAAGGCGATGATTGTGGACCGTTGACCAACATACTTACTTAGCTCGCTCCTCTCTCTACCGTTTTCTACAGTATCTACACTCCATATTCGCTTGGGTTGTTGTATTGTTTCCTTATTTTTAAAGTGAAGCTTGTACCGTATAGTAAACTAGGAATCATACATTTCTTGTTGTTATGAATCAACTTGCAGAGTGCGCAGTAAAACGAATATCGAGAATGATTGAGTACTGAATTCCTGAATTTCGAAACAATGAAGTAGCGAGGCCTAAATAGGGGAAAACCTAGCTAGGCGGGGGGTTCGGGATGGGATGGCTCGGTGATGGTTGCGATTGGAGCGGAGGCCGACTCGGGAGTGGTTCGGTGCGACGAAATAGGAAGGTCAGGTTCGTCGCGTGACCCTCGGGATGGCCTCGCTAACGATTGCCTCAGTAAGGATTTGTAAATCCTTACACTTGTTGTAACCTGGCTAGCATTCCAGTAATGGGTTTCATATCAGGCAGCTTCAATATCAGGCCCAGATTATTCAATAGACACATGGTTAACCTTCCTAAAGACACTGACACACTGTACTCATCTGACCTATCATTACTGTTCATTGGACATCCAGTGGTATCAATCAGTTACACCCACAACAATGCCAATGCCCTACGTGCCCCTACCACCTACACACATTTATTACGGTATTCCTCAGCTCAGACTCTATATCCAGCTCAGAGTTGGTGTGGTGTGGTACCATAGCATGAGGAACCCACCCACCCACCGCCTCTTGAAATTATTGTGATGCTACGAAAGGCAAGGACATGCTCCTCACCGCCTCATGCCGCTGCCGCCTCCTTTCAGCACGGCCCCTCCCTCTTGCTCTTTTGAGCCAACTGAAAAGTCGGTCTCTGCTGGTTATTGGGATGCTACAAAAGGCAAGAACATGCTCCTCGAGAGGTGCCGCTGCCGCCTCTTTTCAACACGCCCCCTCCCTCTTGCTCTGCGCAGCCCAGCCACACTCACTGCATTCTAACGAGCGGGTGTTGTAGCAAAAGGACCCAGCTGCTCCTGCTATGGTGTTTGAGATGCCCCTCCGCCTCAGGAGAACATGCTTCATGTGATTCCCGCCTGTCTTTCTTCAGCACGGCCCCTCCCTCCCTCGCGCTCTGCCCAGCACTGCCTTCTGTCAAGTCGGTGTAGTACCAGCAGCAGGAGGACCCCCCTGCTGCTTTGGTGGCCGCACAGATTCGTTTTATGGATTCTTCATTATACCGTTGAGGTTGAGGCCGCACATCAAAGCTCTCGCTCTGAACACTCTCACTGCCTTCTGACGAGCCGGGGTAGTGCCGTAGCACGAGGACCCGGCTGCTGCTGCTTTGGTAGCCTCGCTTCGTGTGGCCGTACAGATTCGCCTTAGTACCGTTGAGGTTGAGGCCTCACATCAAAGCTCTCGCTCTGAACACTCTCACTGCCTTCAGAGTCTGTGTAGTAGCACGCGGATCCGGCTGCTGCTTTGGTAGCGGAGGGAGATGGGAACGCAGTAGCGGACGGGGAGGAAAATCCCACACCACGAGGAGGGATGTCCAAGGAAGGAGGTGCGTCTACTGCTGCTGCTGCGCCTGCAAGTGTGCCTGTTGCTGCACCTATTGTTGCTGCACCTATTGGTGCGGCTGTTGCTGCGTCTGCTGCTGCACCTGCTGCTGCTATGTCCTGAGATGACGCGAGGTTGAAGGGTGGAGGTGCATATGTTGATATGCCAGAGGATGCTTCAGCAGGAGGGAAAGCAGGGGAGATGTCAGGAGGAGTAGTAGCAGCAGCAGCAGCAGCAGCAGGAGGAAGGGGCGGGGTAGCAGTGAAGCGGCCCCGTCCGTCCTCGCTATAATCCGACTCACTTGCTTCGTCGCCACTCTCGATAACACTGAGGTTGGAGAAATACATTCCCCCTGCTGCAAACCCTAGCCCGAGGCCTACACCAAGGTCGGAATGAGCAGGCGAGGCAGCTTGTAGATCAGGAGAGAGGGAGAACGGAACTAACGGCTCGGATAGAGCAGCTGAGTCTGACCCGTGAGGGGTAGCAAGGGGGGAACTGGCAGCAGCACCGGGAGCACCAGCAACAGCAGCAACAGCAGCAGCACCGGCAGCAGCAGTGGCAGCAGCAGCAGATGCAGACGCAGGTGGGTAGGCCGGAGCAGGAGCAGCAGCAGGAGAAGAGAAAGACTGAGAATCACCCACTGAGTATACATGCTCCAAACTGTAATACTTGGAGCTCATCTGCTCGCCTATAGCCCCTCGAGTCGACTCGAAAGCCTGGGCATCACCCACTGAGTATGCATGCTCCAAACTGTAGTACTTAGAACTCATCTGCTCGCCTATATACCCTCCCCCCCTCACCTCTTCCCTCCCACTAACCTCACTCCCACTGATTTCACCCCCACTGATTTCACTCCCGTACAGCTGATCCTCGCTATATGCATCCTCGCTAAAGCGGCTCACGCTCATGTCACTGGGCACGCTGCTGTCTGCTGCAATAGAGGAAGCATCGAGACCAGCACTGGGCATGGCTGAAAGCTCGCCCAGAGCAGACATGTCTTCCATAGAAGAGAGCTGCTCGTCTCTTGCAGAGCGGTCGTCTCTTGTGAAGCGGTCGTCTCTTGTGAAGCGGTCGTCTCTTGTGAAGCGGTCGTCTATAGCAGAGAGCTGGTCCTCTGAAGGTGTGTAATATGCAGCGTCCCTGCCACTGCTTGTCTCTTCCTCTTCCTCCTCCATTCTCATTTCTTCTGAGTGCTCTTCTGCTATCAGTGGCAGTGGTGGTGGTGGTGGTGCTGCTGCTGCTGCTGCTGCTGCTGCTGCTGCTGCTGCTGTTGCTGCTGCTGGCTCGAACGCATATCCTTGTTGCATCGTGTCTGCTCCCTCATCTCCCTCGCCCTCTTCCTCTTCCTCTTCCACATCGTCTCTGTCGCTGTACCCTTCTCCCTCCTTCTCCGCACCCTCCCCAACCATATGCTCTTCCCGAGACCTGTCAACCTCTCTCGACCCAATCGCATATGCACTGGCACTATATACACCACCAGCCAGTCCACCAGCAGCACCACCATCACCAGCACCACCAACACCACCACCAGCACCAGCACCACCACTCCCACCCTGCCTCCCACTCCCAAACATCTCCCTCCCAAACCTCCCACTCCCACCACCAACCCCACCCCTGCCACTCCCACTCCCCCCCTCCCCGTCCCTATCCCCGGTAAACCCAGGATCAGGCGGCGCTCTAGCCGGGAACCCAAACACGTTCCTCCTGATCTCCATCAACCTCAGCAGCACAGAGGGCATGGGAGGGCGCCTAACTGCCGGCACTCGGATACAGTCCACTGCTAGGGCCGCGAGAGCGGTGAAACCGGCGGCTGTTGCTGGTGTGTACACCCGGGGATCCTTTATGAGCTCGATCTCGTTCTCGTTTATGAAATGCACGGCCTGGTGGGGGGTGGGAAGGAGTGGGGACGGGTGGGGAGGGGTGGGGAGGGAGGTTGGAGGGGAAAGGGAGAGGGGTGAGAGGCGCAGGTTGGTGTGATGATGGAGGGGGTGGGTGGGTGGGTGGGTGGGTGAGGAGACGGGTTCAGTGCGTGCAAGAGTGTGTGTGCAAGAGCAGGATGGATTCCGAGCAGCAGCAGCAGCCGCAGCAGCCGCAGCAGCAGCAGCGGCGGCGGCGGTGGCGGCAGCAGCAGCAGCGGCGTTATGAGCAGCAACTGACCCAGTCTGTGATGACAAGGCGCTCCTCTGGGTCGTCTGGGTCTGGCATGACTGCCAGACGCCCCGTGAGCAGCTCCAGGAGAATCACTCCGAAGCTGAGGTGAAGAGGGGAGGAGCGGGTGGGCGCACGGGGTGTGGTGCGAGGAAGCAGAGGGAGAGGGAGGTGTTGTTGGGTGATGGATCTGTGATGACAAGTCGACCCACTGGCTCATCAGAGGCCTTCTGGGTCTGTGATGGAGGAAGCAGAGGGAGAGGAAGGTGTGGAGTGAAGGATCTGTGATGACAAGTCGACCCACTGGCCCATTAGAGGCCTTCTGGGTCCGGCATGACTGCCAGACGCCCCGTGAGCAGCTCCAGGAGAATCACTCCGAAGCTGAGGGGGAGCGGGGAGAGAGGAGGGAATGGACGCAGGGGTGTGATGTGAGGAAGCAGTTGGAGAGGGAGGTGTGGAGTGACGGACCTCTGGCAGTGATAACATGCCGTTCCCGCTGGTCTACTGGGCGCGGCATGACTGCCAGGCGCCCTGTCAGCATCATCACCGGGAGAATCGCTTTGAAGCTGAGGGGAGAGAATCAGAGGAAGGGAGTGAGGGGAGTGGACGCAAGAGGTGTGAGGGGAGTGGGAGAGGGTCCACATCAGAGGCTCGCCTACACACGTCAGCAACACATCTGTACACGTCAGATGCTCACCTGTACACGTCAGTGGCCGGGGAGAAGGAGAGAACGGGCGGCAGCAGCAGCTCCGGCGCGACATAGCCCTGCTCCTGCGCTTGCAGCGGCACCCTCACTCCGTCCTCGCCCGGTGCTGGATGCGCGAAACAAAAGTCCGTTAGCTTCGCCTGGTGTGGGGGGATGGGGGGAGAGGAGAGGGCGCACGAGGGATGAGAGGGAGGCGAGAGCAGCACGTTGGTACGGCGTGAGAAGGGGTGAAAAAACATCAAATAAGATGCTGCCAAGGCATGGGACGGCCATGGAAGGAAGAAAAAGGCAGGAAAAGGCAGAAAATGGCAGGAAAAGGCAGAAATAAATGCAGGAAAAGGCAGAAATAAATGCAGGAAAAGGCAGAAATAAATGCAGGAAAAGGCAGAAATAAATGCAGGAAAAGGCAGAAATAAATGCAGGAAAAGGCAGAAATAAATGCAGGAAAAGGCAGAAATAAATGCAGGAAAAGGCAAGGTACGCACGTGGTGGCCGTTGGGTGAGAGCAGTATGTTGGTGGGCTTCACGTTGCGGTGCACGAGGGGCGGCGAGTGTGCGTGCAGGAAGGCTAACCCCTCTGCCAGAGATATCGCCACGTTCACCCGCTGCTGCGCCGACAGGAAGTGGTCCACTGCGGTGGAATGGGGTGGAATGGGGTGGAATGGGGTGGGCGAGGGTGAGAAGCGAGGGTGAGAAGCGAGGGTGAGGTGTAGAGGGAGCGGGCTTTTGAGGGTGAAGCAAGGGCAGGGTGCTATTCAAGGCGCCTGAATAGTCAGTGCAAGTTGGAATAGCAGCAAGCGGTGAGATGAGGTGAACACTCGGGGACAGGGGATCGATCGATTTTTTAGTCGACTCAAAAATCGACTCATCACACAGGGTGCTATTTAAGGCGCCTCAATAGTCAGTGCAAGGTGGAACAGTAGCAAGTGGTGAGGTGAGGTGAACACTCGGGGGCAGGGGATCGATTCGGTTGGGAGAGGACTGGGGGGAGGGGAGGGGAGGGTTTGGCGCACCAGGGGCGCGGTTGGGGGGGGGGAGGAGGGGGGCGGTGGGAGGGGGGGAAGCGCACCTGGAGCCTTGTGGAGGCGGAAGAAGAGGGAGGAGAGCGGCGAGTGCAGCTGGTATATGACCATGCGCTCCCCGCACTCGTGGCACAGCCCCAGTATGCGTGCCAGGCGCTGGTGGTGCGACTGCGATGCAAACAGCGCCACCTGCGGGAGAAGAGAGCAGGGGAGGGGAGGGGAGGGGACGGCAGGGGTGGGGGAGGGAGGTTGGCATGTAAGTTGCAAGTGGTTTGCAAGTGGTTTGCAGGTGGTCTGCATGTGGTGCTCTGACCAAAGCGACTCCCCGCTCCCCGCACTCGTGGCACAGCCCCAGTATGCGTGCCAGGCGCTGGTGGTGCGACTGCGATGCAAACAGCGCCACCTGCGGGAGAAGAGAGCAGGGGAGGGGAGGGGAGGGGAGGGGAAGGGAGGGGAGGAGGAGAGAGGCTTGAATATACGACTTTTGGGACGTCTCAAAAGTTGAATATACTTGGAACTGAATCCTCCAAGCCGTATGGATGCCGTGCATTGCACCACCACCAGAACTGCTCCCTGCCATCCCCCCTGTCTCACCTTGTGCTCAAACGAGGCAGGCCCAGCATCAGCGGAGCAAGCACGCCTCCTCCTCGCTCATCCGGGATTCAGGAACACCCAAGCTCTCCCTCCCGTCCCTCCCTCCCGTCCCTCCCTCCCGTCCCTGTCTCACCTCGTGCTGAAACGCCGCAGGCCCAGCATCAGCGGAGCACGCCTCCTCGCTCATCCGCTTCACCGCCCACGCGCTCCCCCCGTCCGTGCGCGCAGAGTACATATCCCCATACGCGCCCATCCCCGCCACTCCCGCCGCTCCCGCTCTCCCGCTCCCCTCGCCCGCATCACTCCCACCCACTCTCCCACTCCCGCCCACCTCCCGGCCACTCCCACCACTCCCAGCAGCCCCAGCAGCAGCACCAAACGAACCGAGGGACCCAGACGAGCGACCGGAGCCGAAGGACCCACTCCCGGCGCTGCTCCTGCCTCGGGAAATGCTGCGAAAGCTAAAGGAAGCGAAGGAGGCGGCGGCTGGGTTGGCGAGATCTGCGTCGCCACTGTTGCCGTTGCTGTTGTTGCGGTTGCTGCTGTTGGCGTCGCGCCACGCGGCTTCGAGCTGCAGTGCGAGCAGGTTGCGCGGGTGGAAGCTGGACGTCGCTCGTCGGAGCTCTGCCAGACGGAACACGCGGAGAGGAGGGGCCGTCCCGCCGCCGCCGCTGCTGCTGCTTCTGCTGCTGCCAGTGGTGCTGCTGCTGGCGCTGCTGCTTCGGGTGAGGGGCAGTGGGATGGGTACTGCTGCTGCTGCTCCTGCTGCTGCTGCTCCTGCTGCTGCTGTGGCGTTTTCTGTGACTTCTGAAGGATGGGCTGGGTCAGTATGCTGGGGTCTTCTTGCTGCTGCTGCTGCACCGGCCACTCCCGCCACTCCCACTGCCGCTGCAGCCGCCGCCGCTGCCGCCGCTGCTGCTGCTGCTTCTGTGCCTTCCCCTCCCGCCACAGCCATACCTCCCACCATGCCTCCCCCCATACCTCCCACCATGCCTCCCCCCATACCTCCCACCATGCCTCCCCCCATACCTCCCCCCATGCCTCCCCCCATACCTCCCCCCGTGCCTCCCCCCATACCTCCCCCCATGCCTCCTCCCATCCCAGTGTGTCCCAACCCCGTCCCCTCACCCCCCAACGGCGCCCACCCTTGCCTTCCGAGTCCTATACGTTCTGCTGCCATCTCAAAGGGTGAAAGCACTCTCTCTCCTCCTCCACCTCGTCCTCCTGCCATCCCTCCGCTTCCTTCACCTCCCACTCGTCCTCCCACTCCTTCCAATCCCTCTCCTCCTCTCGCTCCTGCACCATAAGCCACTACAACTGCTCCATAGCCTGTCTCCTCTGCCGCGCCCTTCCCTTTGTTGTAACTGTCCCCGGAGCTTGCAGCTCCCATCACGCGTGCTGCAGCAGGGTAGGGTGGGGGGGCAGAGGCATGGGGATGGGAAGGAGCATTCAGCTGTTGAAGCCTCTGCCGCGCCCTTCCCTTTGTTGTAACTGTCCCCGGAGCTTGCGGCTCCCATCACGCGTGCTGCAGCAGTAGAGGGGAGGGGTGCAGGGGAAGACGCATGGGAGCACCATAAGCCACTCCAAATTTAGGGTTCAGGAACGCACCAGAAACGAGGAGTTGGGTGGCGTCCTCCTATCATTCTCAAAGGCGTCTCAAAGCAAAGTCACTCGCCGCTGTAGCGGGCCCTGTGAAGCAGCAGCAGCAGCAGCAGCAGCAGCAGCAGCAGCAGCAGCAGCAGCAGCAGCAGCAGCAGCAGCAGCAGCAGCAGCAGCAGCAGCAGCATCAGCAGCAGCAGCAACACGAGCACGAGCAATTTGGAGGCGGTATTTTATCATTCCCAAAGGCATCTGGAAGCACACTCACTCACCACTGTGGCCGACCCTACGCCGCCGCAGCAGCAGCAGCAGCACGAGGCAGATGAGCAGCAGCAGCACCTATCTGGAAAAATGGTGAGCGTTTTGTTTGTGACTCTCAAAGGCGTGTGTAGTCAACGTAGACTCACCGCTGTGGCGCACCCTGCGGCGCAGGAGGAGCACGAGGCGGATGAGCAGCAGCACGAGCACGAGCAGTGCTCCAATGACTATCACCGCTATGAGAGAGAGAGAACTAAGCACCACTTCTGAGAGTTGTCGTCGAGGCTTCTCAAAGGAAGGAGACTCACCGCTGTGGCCCACCCTACGGCGCAGCAGCAACACGAGGCAGATCACCAGCAGCACGAGCACGAGCAACGCTCCAATGACTATCACCGCTATCAGCCACGGACTCATGCCTGCTGCTGCTGCTGGCGGTGGTGATGGTGCTGGTGTTGGTGTTGGTGGTGATGGTGGTGGTGGTGATGGGGTTGGTGGTGGTGTTGGTGGTGGCTGGGCGGGGATGAAGGTTAGGGCTGTGGCGGTGTCTGGTGGTGGGGCGTGGGAGGGATGGAGAGCAGGGGAGGGGAGGGGAGGTAGAGCAGGGGAGGGGATGGAGAGCAGGGGAGGGGATGGAGAGCAGGGGAGGGGATGGAGAGCAGGGGAGGGGATGGAGAGCAGGGGAGGGGATGGAGAGCAGGGGAGGGGATGGAGAGCAGGGGAGGGGATGGAGAGCAGGGGAGGGGATGGAGAGCAGGGGAGGGGATGGAGAGCAGGGGAGGGGATGGAGAGCAGGGAGAAGAGAGCAGGAAGGCCACGGAGAAGTGAGATGAGATGAAGGAGCAACGGTTGAAAGCCGAAGCAAAAAATCAATATTCTCCTCCATCCACCCACCCATCCGTTCTCTCCGTCATCCCATCATCACCCATCCCCACCTCCCCTCACCCCCTTATCTTACTCCATTGCAATTCCTCACCTCACCTCACCTCACCGCACCTCACCACACTCTACACACAGTACAGTGCTCACCTGCGCCCATCCACGAGTGCACCACGAACGGTCTGCCTGCAACAGCACCACTCCCACCATCAGCACTCCCAGAAGATGCTTCTATTCCGAGAAAGAGAGGAAGGCGGGAAGAGGGAGGGGAAGATGGAGAGGGAGAGGAAGGTGGAGAGGGAGATGGAGGGGGAGAGGGAGGGGGAGAGGGAGAGGGAGAGGGAGAGGGAGAGGGAGAGGGAGAGGGAGGGGGAGAGGGAGAGGAAGCGGGAGCGGACGATGTCTGGCCTGTGTTGTCTGAATCAGCAAGGATTCTCGTCTGCTGGTCTGTCTTAGTGGCAATGGCACCAGCAGAAGCTGCAGCAGCCGTAGCAGCGAAGTTCACATGAGAAGGGGAGGATGAGGAGGAGGAGGAGGAGGAGGAGGAGGAGGAGGAGGAGGAGGAGGAGGAGGAGGAGGAGGAGGAGGAGGAGGAGGAGGAGGAGGAGGAGGAGGAGGAGGAGGAGGAGAAGGGGGAAGCAGAAGCGAGAAGGGTGCGTGCGGTCCTGCTGCTGCTTGTGCTGATCGTTGAAGTCACCATGAGTTGGCACAGGTTTACGTGTGCGCTCACCACCACTTGCGCTGTTGCGCTGCTGCCCCTGGTGCTGTTGCTGCTGCTGTTGCTGCTGCTGCTGTTGGTACTGCTGGTGGTGGTGGTGAGAGCAGAAGTCATTGGGCAGGACGGAATGAAAAACACGTTGCCACTCCCGCCACCGTTGCCACCACCGCTGCTACCATTGCTGCTGCTGCTGCTGCTTGCAGCTAGTGAGGAAAGGAGGGGTGGATTGAGGTTAAGTGCCACTGTAAGCATCTGCAGTGGCGCGCAGTATTCCACCGATACAGTCACATCTGCTGCAGCAGCAGCAGCAGCAGTGGTGGTATCAGCAGCAGCAGCAGCAGCGGTGGATTTTGAATCCAGCCATTGAGTAAAAGAGTGCATGATTCCAACTCCTACCGTTGTTGCTGCTGTTGACGTGTCGACTTGGACTAGCAAGCGAGGGGGACACGGCACGAGGTGGGGGGAGGAGGAGGAGGAGGGGGAGGATGAGGAAGAGGAGGGGGAAGATGGAGAGGAGGAGGAGGGGCCAAAGCAGAGGCAAGAGGAGGAGGAGGTGGTGGTGGTGGTGGAGTTGGTGGTGATAGGGCAGAGGTGCGTGCTTGTAGGAAGCGGGGAGAAGACAAGAGCGATGCTGCTGGGTGGTGTTGGAGAGGCGTTGGAGGGAGAGGAGGGGGAGGAGGGGGAGGAAGGGGAGGAGGGAGTAGCTTTGCTGTTTGAGAAAGTGAAAGAGGTGAAGAAGGAGGAGGAGTTGCAGGACGGGGAGGGGGAGGGAGAGGAGGGAGAGGAGGGAGAGGAGCGAGAGGAGGGAGAGGAGGAGTATGAGGAGGAATTGGAGGTGGAATTTGAGTCGATGCTCGAAAGGATGTACAAAGGATGGGCAAAGAAAATAGCTCCGCTGCCGCTGCCACCGCCACCGTTGGTGTTGCCGCTGCCGCCGCCACCACCGTCGCCGCTGCTGGCGCCAAGGAGAATGGAGGGCCAAGAAGAGCCTTGGGAGGAACCGGAGGAATCAGAGGAGGAGGAGGAGGAAGAGTTGACCAGAGAAGCATCACCCGAGAGAATGAAAGGTGAGGGGGACGCTGAGGCCGAGGAGGAGGAAGGCGAGGGAGGGAACTGGAGTAGCAGCGGTGTGCCTGTGCTGTTTCCACCCCCATTACCAGCACCACCACCAGCACCAGCACTGCCAGTGGCAGCAGCGGCGGGCAGCAGCATGAGGGACAAGGCGTCGACCATTGTGGCGTTGGCTCCTCCCTTCACCTGCAGCACCACCGTCGTCGATTCCCCTGCTGCCACGAACTGGATGGCCGCCACGTGGAACGACAATGCTGCTGCGTACGCTGCAGGTGCACCACCAGAACTGGCTGCGACAGCAGCAGGAGGAGGAGCAACGGCAGGAGTAGCAGCAGTGGCAGCAAGAGCTTCTGCTTGGCTGGCACCCCAGTTTAAATCGGGTAACCAGTCAAACCACCCATCCCAAAAGTTCCCACCCCCACTTCCGTCCCCCCCTCCTATTCCACCTCCACTACCCCTTCCTCCTGGATCTCCACTCCCTCCTCCCCCACTCCCTCCTCCGCCTTCTCCTCCTCCTCCTCCTCCCGCTCCCCCTCCCCCTCCCCCTCCTCCTCCGCCGCTCCCCTTTCTCTCCTGTGCCGACAGCAGCACGGATTGGTTACCCAGCAGGATTTGCAGGGCAAAGGGCGAGGGCGGGGCGAACGGGAGAGGCACAGACGCCAGGGAAAGCTGCAGCAGGTACGTAGCTCCCGGCACGGTCGACACGGTTTGGGATAGAGCACCCTCGCAGGGGGGCACGGGAGAGGAGGAGGAATAGGAGGAGGAGGAGGAGGGAAAGGAGCAGCCGGAAGCAAGGATGGCAACGCATCGGCCATGAGCGGGCGTAATAGGTGTGGACGGAAGGCCGTAGTAGCTGGACCTTCTCCGTCTGCCGCTGCCGCTGCTGCTGTTGGTGGCAGCGCCGGTGGTGATGGTGGTGGGGGTGCTGGTGGTGGGGAGGCAGCGCACAGAGAGATTACCAGAGGCGGTCCATCCCAGGGGCAGCAGGCCGTCTGGTTGCAGCTGCTCGAAGCTCGGGTTCACTAGAAGGTTGCCGCCGCTGCTGTTGCTGCTGCTGCTGCTGCCGCTGCCGCTGCTCTCAACCACTGCTGTTGCGGCTCCGGATGCTGCTTCGGCTTCTGGTCCAGCTGATGCTGTCGTTGATGCATCACCAGAGGCCGAAGCTGCACGTAAAGGCGCTGCTGTCCTTCCTCCCTCACCAACAGCAGCACTAGCAGCTGTAGCTGTACCAGCAGCAGCAGCAGCAGCAGCAGCACGACCAGCGCTAACCTTGCTCTCCACGTCAAGCCGCCTCGCTCTGCTCCAAGTCTGCATCTCGCGCCCTCGCTTCTCCCCCTGCTGCAATCTCAGGCCCGCCCCGCTCTTCACGCCGCCGCCTCTCCCACTCCCACCACCTCTCTCGTTGCTCCTCCGCCCAGCTCGCCTGCCGTTGTTTCCTCGCCAGCCGTTTCGCTTGCGGTTTCGCCGGCCCGCGCCCCTTCTCCTGCCGCCATCCTGACGGTTCCACCCCTGGCGAGACCACCCACTTGCTTCCGCAACCGGTGCCGAATCAGCCCTTTCCGAATGAGTAACTCTTCCCTTGCGGAACTCTCCTCCTGCTCCTCTTGTTCCAGGCGCCACTCCCCACTCTTCCTCCTCGCCCCTTCGTGCTGCTGCCTCTTCCTTACCACGCACGTTTCCGTTTCTTGCCTCCTCCTCCTCCTCTTCCTCCTCCACTTGTGCTTCTTCTTCTTCCTCCTCCTCGTGCTGCTGCTGCTGCTCCTCCGCGGTTTCATCCCAGCGTTCCTCGGCCCACGAACTCAGAATATCGTCCTCTTCACCCGATTCGTCACTGCCCTGACGGAAGATGAATCCGCCCGTCAGCTCGTTGACGGAATTCGTCGGCCAGTCGTAGTCCGACTCCGTCCACGAACCTCCTCCGTCAACGTCAGACTCCTCTGGTAGCGATGCCTGCTCCCATTGGTTGATCTCCTCCGCTGCTCCCTCTTCTGACCTGTCACGTCCGCGTTCTGTCAAAGCTCCGTCAGGTTCCGTCCACTCACTGCCGGCCACGTCGACAGCGTCACCTTCCACTCCGTCGCTAGTATACTCACTTGGCGCCCACCAACCGGCACGTTTCGTCCATGAACCGACGGACTCCGTCGAGCCTCCGTCATCGCCGTCACCCCCGTAGAATCCTCCACCCTCGTTATAATCCGCCCCGTCCGACCGTCCATCTTCCTCATCCCAGGATCTCGGCCGTCCCCTTCGCATGGATTCCCCGGTTCCGCCGCGTTCCCCGTAGTAATCCGAGTCGCCCCATCTTCTCTCCGCCGCATCCGGCGCAAACCAACCCGCTCCGTCGGCACTACGGGGATCAGCTCTTGCCGCTTTCCCCCACGGCAACCGCCGTCGCGGTTTTATTTTCCCCATTCTCACGGCCATTGAATCGCTCTGCGTTCTCATCGTCCGTGCTTTCGTCCCTGTTGGAATCGATCGCGAGATCAATTCCAGCTCCTGCGTATTTTCCTCGTCACCAAAAGCTGCTTCACTACCGCCTGTCCAGCTCACCTGTTCGCGGGAATCCTCCCGCCATTCCCCGGCATCGTCGGGCGTGTTCCGCCAGAACCTGCGCGGGGAGCGTCCGCGGGCTTCTCGTGCGCCCTCCGCCGCGGCTGCGGCAGCTTCTGCCGAAGACGCGGACGCGGACGCGGACAGCGGGATCACGAGCAGCATTAGTGCGAGCACGAGCGGAACGAATGCGCGCCGCGTCACTACTGGAACCGAAATCCTTATAGTAGCAACATTAGAAGCACCAGCGGTGGCAAAAATCGGGCTTTGGGAACTCCCAAAAAGTCCTAGTCGCCCGCAAACGCCGGAGGCCCTCCGCCGAGCTTGGCAGGCACCACTCGAAGGTCGCGCTGATCGCTGCGGTGCGCAGCTGCTGCTCGGCGCCATGTCCCGCGGCGCGGAAGGCGGTGTACCAGGCAGCGCAGAAAGCCGTAGCGGCGGCGCAGTTGTATGCTCTCGAATCGCCAGCGCGCCGTCGGCTAACTCCGTCCGAGCGGACAACGACTCGTCGACCCGCCATCCGAGCGGACAACCCTGCGAGGCTCGCAGGAGTCGGCGTCTTTCAGTAACGTTGACTGCAGTACCTTCTGTCAAATATGACGGGACGGTTTCTTTCAAAGAATTCCACCCGTCAGCCATGGACACGGTCAAGATGGGCAGAATTTGGTTTATTGATCTTGTTTCTCAGCACGCGGGCGCGCGTGTCTCGTGTATCAAGAAAGTCTCGCGGCGTTAAGAGGCTTACAAAGTCGTCTCGTCTATCTCAGCGGCTGGATACTTGACTAATGCAAAACTCTTTCGTGACTAATGACGGACATCTTGGGCTCTCGTGATTTACTCGCGAACGTCACAACAGGAGAAAACGAGATCCACTAGCGCTCGTGAAAATAATGAGGTGAAATACTAGCGTGTTTCCAGAGAGTGAAAGAGGCGAAAGAGCTTCAATAATGAGCCATCGCACGCAACGTAATGAAAGCAGCGTTTCGCGAGCATGAAACATGCACGACAAGCAAAGAACGGGAGAAGATCACACGAACTAGACACGCAGCAGAAATTATTCGAGGTGAATGGAGATAGGAGGGGACACTTCTCATCCTACGAACGACACCTCTCTTCGCCACTGTTGTGGTTGTGTTGTGAGGCAAGCCGCATCGGGCGCAAGATTCCCAATACTGGGCTGGACTTGTTTCCTCGAAAGCCGAAGGATGGCAGGTTCGGAGCAGATCGGACGGATAAAAAATCCGCTGAGACGCAATAGCGGCGGAAGGGGACGTCAAGATGCGGAGATTCGGAGACGTTCTCTTGCGCGAGTGGGTTTCAAGGGGCGCTCCATTCCATATGCCCCAGATCAGGGAGGTTCTCGAGTTCCTTCCCATTCTTTCCTCCCTGCGTCCGCTTTTGCGCTCTGGGCTTTCCGCGAAGGGGACAATGTTCTGTGCTGTCGCCTTTATTCCGCCAAATGGCTTTCCGCTTCTTCCCCATCTCCCTTGTTCAGGCGGCCCGAGATGTCGCGCACGCCACGCCAGCAACAGTGGTGGATAAGACAGGGGAGACAATTATCGGCAGGCGGTTCTACGCATATTGCTCCAGGTGTCGGTCGGTGGGAGGAGATCCCTCGGCAACACACGGCACTGACCCCGACGAACGTCACGAGCAACAATAATTTTGACTGACGAGGCTGTGATCGCAAATAATTGTGGTCAACGCAAGTCTACCAGAGGAAATCCCCTGGCGGATTTATTGCTTGTTTGTTGTACGCGATACCGGTGCACAAGAAAGCCGAGGTGGAGTGCGGAAACACTCAGTGGAGATTTTGAGTGAGTAACACATATCATAGTATTTTTTTAGGGTTAAGGTTTGGCACAGAAGACGATTTCAACAGTTTCGAAAAAATGCAGCATCAAATCAACAATGAATGGAAATAAATTCTCTAGATGTCGTACAATGTTGATACGTGTGTCGTAACTTACCATTAATGATCATGAGCATTTCTATTTGCTCATAAATATACACTTTCACAACGGGAGTTTGTGAAGCTGGATATTTGATGCATATTTGTCTCGATCAAGCCAACCTCTAGGCTCCTGTGCTCTTTTTTTTTTTTTTTGATATCATATACATTACAGGAATGTACAGACATCGGCAGTCGTAACTGGCATGGGGAGGGGAGCGCCACAATAGCAGATATTGCAGTTCCCCTCTAACGCGACTACGGCGGTTGGTGAGTCATGCTGGGGTTATCCCAGATTGAACTGAAGCTGATCCTCCACGACAGCGGTGCACCGCTGCTGCAGATACGTCGCATCACCGTCGCCTCATCGGCCGCCAGGTGTGCCCAGTCATCCCTCATAGGCTCCTGTGCTCCGAGTCCACATGATGCTCACCCAATGCACGCGAAATTGACTCGCACCTGGTGGAAACTTTGCACCGTGGGTTTTTTGCCTTGAGCTTGCACCCCGTTTAGAGCGCCTTGGACTACTTACCCAAGTGGTTTGAATACAACCACAAATGAATGGGATGCACAAAACAGACTGTGTTGCCCAGGGAGTCCTTGTTTCTTGGCCAGAAACAAAGGACGCGAAGTGCAAGGACGAAACACATTCGAAATCGTTGCCACATTCGCGAATCCAGCCTGTGTCACGTTAGGTGTGTCAAGGTGCGTCAAACAGACCACCGCCAAATTCCTACTGCCACCTGTACCTAGCCGATACAGACAACCGCATAGCCTCTCAATGTGCAGCAAACACACGTTACCACGTACGGTGGTGGTTACAGGGTAGCACATAGCCTATAACCATCACTCCATTCATGTAATGAATATGCAATTCATTACTGTAGAGGCTGCTCCTAGCGAGGACAGCCCGAGCACTTCACGTCAGGATGGCTCGACCTACACTTTCGCACCGAGCCAATTCCGAGTCGCCCCGCGCCAATCGCGACATTCCCGAGCCACGCACACCTAGAGGTTCTCGCCTAGCTAGTTTTCGCCCTATAAATGCTCGCTTTCTTCATTGTGTGATTCATTATGTAATCACGTCTTCTTTATAAAGTCTTCCGCGCACTCTGTCTAGTAAAACTCATAACAATTCATTTGTCAGAAGAAATGTATCGCGCATCCGTGGTTTCAAAGTGCCTCCTCGCAACCCACGACGTGAAAGGCAAAATCACCATAAATAAGAAGGCAATCCTTACTCCCGTCATTCATAGTTTACTCTCCCCTCACCACCATGGCTCGCTTATACCACCGTTCGCAGCTGGGTTTGCCGATCAAGAGGGCGATTTGCGCCCACCATGTTGCAAATCCGCACCTGCGCCACGTTGACCTTTCTCGCTAGTGCTTCACTCGCTTCGGGATTCGCCCCGACCGCAGCATTATTGGGCGCGTGCTCAAGGGTGCCGACCGTTGGGTGCGACCTGCCGGGGACACCGACGTCATCCGTGTGCGCGAAGGCGCACACCCCGAGCTCGAGCGCGCAATGGCTCGCTGGATCGCCAATGCGGGCCCGGCTGGCGTGCCTCTCACTCTCGCGACTATCCGCGAGCATGTGGCGACAATGGCGCGGAACAGTGGGATTCCGAGCACATTTCGCTGCTCCATAGGCTGGGTCCGTCGTGCTCTGCGCCGCCAGGGTGTCCGTTGGCGAGGCGGCCGACCAGGATATGACGACCGTCCGAACGACCAAGGAGAAACTCCCGCAGCTGTTGATGCACCTTTCTGTCACTCCGAGCGACACCTTCAACTTCGACGAGACCGCCTTGTTCCTCTCGATCCTGCCGCGTAAGACATATGGCACCACCCGCACGGCCGGCCGGAAGATTGCCAAGGAGCGGTTGACGGTGGGCTTCCTCGTCAACGCCGACGGATCCCGTGTCTTCAAGCCGTTGGTGATTTTGAAGGCGAGGAGGCCCCACGACTTTCGGCCCGACTACAATCCCGAGGAGAAGTGTTTCTGGAGCAATAACGCCAAAGGCTGGATGACAAAGGCGGTGAGTATGATGGTGCTTGTGTGTCTCGTGTGCCGGCCTCGTAAAAGTCAAGTTACCGAGAAGTTACACGGTTAACGACTATGTTTTGTATCCCTTCCGCCCGCTCTTGCCATGCGCAGTTGTTCACGCACTACATCGAGCAGCTTGACGCCACCATGTACGCCGACGGAAGGAAGATCGTGGTGCTGCTCGACAACGCTAGCAGCCACACGCTCACGACGGAAAGTGTTACCATTGAAGACATGTTCGGCTTCCGCATGTGCGCGCTCGGGAATGTACGCCTCGTGTATCTACCCCCGAACACGACTTGCTTCACTCAGCCTCTTGACCAGGGGCTCATCTCAATGGCGAAAGCTCGGTACCGTGCGCACTGGCTCCGCGCCTTTACCGACATGTGGTGCGCCGACGGCGCAACTACCGCGACTGCGCGTTTCAGGCCGAATCTGCGGCTTGTGCTGGATTGGCTCCATGACGCTGGGATGAACGTGGGCCCGCGCGCCATCCAGCGCTGCTGGTGGCGCACCGGATGTCTTCCCCACGTGTGGGCCATGTCTCTCCCACACGTGGGGGTCGGGAACGGCAACAACGGAACCAACGGCGGCGCGGGCGGCGGCGGTGCGAATGTGGCAGACATCGGCCTCGATGCAGAGGTTGACGGTGTCGGCCTCCTCATTGGCCAGCTGCGCCTCGGGCCGAGCGCGATGGCCGCCGCCGATTTCGTGAACGTCGACGCCAACCAGCCCACCTGCGCCGAACCGGGGGAGGACCCGCTTGCAATGGAGCCCGCGTCCGCGGCGACGCCCGCAATGTGGGAGGCGCATGCGAACATGCAGGCTGTCTACGACGATAGCAACCCTGCGTCGCGCGAAGCGCGCCGCACCGCTCGTGCTTCGTGCGAGATGCTGATTGGTTACGCGCGGGCGACGTGCATTTCCCCGCGGGACCTTTGCGCCTTGTTCGACATCCGGAACCCCATCATCGTGGCGCAGATGGAACGCGCGAGCCCGCCTCTCGATCTCAACCACGCCCCACCCCCGGATGTGACTCACGTCGACACCCCGCCGCCTGAGACCCCTCGTCGCCACGGTCGGGTGCTTCCTGCGTGGGCGCATGTGCCCACCCCAGACTAGGTGGCGTAGTCGGCCCGCCGCCAGGAGCTCATTGACGCCGGTGCACCCGCCGTGATGAGCGGGTACCTGGCCGCTGCAGAGTGGGTGCGGCTGTGAGAGGGGATTTCGACCCCTTAGAGGTTGATTTTAACTCCTCCTCTAGTGTATGAGGTGTACGCCTTGTACACAATTGCAAGATTTGGGATGGATGTCGGGTGTTTATGTTGAGTACAGGTGGAGGAGCTTCATTGGGTCGAAGGGGAAATGTGGTGTTTGTGACAGTGCAGGTTGTGAATTGTAATGGGTTGTTAATGAAATGGGCGAAAAACGTGGTAACACTTCCTTCGAATGTACAATAAACAAAGCCACCCTACACTGTTTAGGGAAAGGACAAGCGTGTAACCACACCTGCCTTTTAAACGCCCCCTATGGCCGTGGCGAAAGCCACGAAGTGCCCGAAATGACCGGCGCGCTTACAGTCCCAGAGGACAAGGCAAAGTTGGGGGACTATAACGCGCACTAGGTGTACTGCTGTTCTGATTCCCAATCCCAAATCCCAAGGACATACTCGTGATCGCTATCATGCCTCAGCTTCTCACGGCTCATGGCTCATGGCCCATCTCGGCACCCCACAACCAAAGAGCAGCGCGCGGAAGAGCTCTGTATGCTAGTACCTCGTGACCCGCATCAGATCAGGTTTTATCATTTGACCAAACTTTCCTCATGGATTAACTTCAGGATGCCAACTTCTTGATTTGATCCAAGAACCTACGACCCCTCTCCATTAACGCTTCCTTCAAAGGCATACGTTACTCTCTCTACATGGAACCTACGACTAGACCTCTGAATGCAGCAGGGCAGGAATCTATTGAGTCGTCGAGAACAGCTACCGGGGGAAAAAAACGGAAGTTTGACTTGGTGAAAGCTCACTTGCCGACTCCGCTCGTTGAGATGACATCAAACGCTACTCTCTGCTTGCCGAATGCAGTTTCCAGCGGCAGTCGACCGTATTGGCACGTCGTTCTGGGCATACACAATCGAGGAAAGGCTAAAATCATGCTCTTAAGCCTTTCGGTCACAGAGAAAGCACGAGTTGCCGGTAGCGGTCCGGCTAACCATCCAACTGTTGTGTCCTGGAAAGAAGGAGATTTGATTCTTGGCGAAGAAGGCTCTTTTGCTGGCTACGCTGTGAGAATACCGTTCACGGGAGATTTAGCATCACCTGCCATTGTCTACGAGTGGAATTATAGGTGAGGAGACATGGAAATGTGAGTATGGCGATCTCAGCTCATCCATATCTTAACCGATGAGTTGACTTGCAGATTTCTGGGTGACAACCCTGTTACTCTTGACGGCCCATCCAGGCATGAACCTGCCGTGAGTCACCTCAACGAGTGCATTTCCCTTTTTCTCCCATTTGCAAGTCGTCTGATCCAATCATTTATGAAATGAAACAGGGTCGGAATTTGGATGAGTCGCTTATTGGAGGAGACCTCAAACGACAAAGACTCTCTGAACATCCATTAAACAACAGCAGACACAAGTCTCATGACAGTGCACGTTGGTGGTTGCCCTGGACATGGTCCAAGAGGGAGAGTATTACGGCCCGGCCACAACAGCTTCTCACTCCAGCCCTGCAGTCAGAAGAATGACATCCACAATGCTTTAATCCAGTGCAATGTGCTGTGAGGCCCCCAGAAGTCAGAGTTTTTTGTCTGATTTGCTTGTTTTAGTCTGAGATTTCAGAATTTTTTTACGGTGTACTCTGTAAAATTCAGATTTTTTATTGTCTCAACTCTGTGAAAATCATATTTTTCTATAGGCTGACTCTGACATTTCAGAGTTTTCCGGGAGTGTACTCTGATGAATTCAGAGTACAAACGAGTTCCAACTCTGAATGAATCTACCTGGCTGTGAGCGCACTGCATCATTGCCTGTTAGAACGATATACCGTATATATTTTTGTAACAATCCTTCTCTTTTCTTTCACATCATTATGGTTACTGGATACATGACTGTTACACCAAACTCCATGCTTCACTGGGAAAGGCCCTCCTATTCTTCCGTCTGTTGCCAATAATGTCCCGAGTAAAACTGCTGCTGTGGCCTCCACACTGGTCTGGAGGGTATAGAAAGAAAGTTGCCTTTAGACAAACCAGCTTGTCCAGAATTCCCTGCAAGAATAAAGGACCGCAGAAAGATAAGAATGCACCTTCAGATACATTGAGCATGCTTCTGCAGTTCAGCACCCTGGCAACACGAGCATCATGACACAGTTAGTGATAACAACGGGCCACCAGACAGAGAAAGGGTGAGAAGGGAAAAAGCTGGCACCTGCACTCCAGCATCCAGGTGCGGAAACTGAGGGTCCACTGTAGTCCATGACACAGGCTGCAATTTGGAGTAAAGAAGCTGGAAGACGAGGAAAATCCAGGGAGTGTTGAGGAGCAGTGTGGGGGCACACGCATGATAAATATAGGGGCTTGGACAGCACAAACAGATGCACTATACATTGAAAACAGGTGAGGATGGGTTATGCAGAATGGCAAGCTGCTGCGCAGGCTAGCTATTCTACCTGAATGACACGCTTGGCTATGCGCTGCTGCATGAACTCGAGTCCGTAAAAGGACATGGAGACAGGGCGGCCGTCCGGATGCATGTCCGTGGCCAGAAACAATCTCTCTGATAACCCCTTGGTCTGATGGTGCCAAGACGGAGAGGGGGAGAGGAGATGCCAGAGAAAGGAAGCAAGAAGCATGAGAGAGAAGGGTTGGGAAAGGAGGGGATTGAGGTAAGGGAGTGCAGAGCGGAGGGTGGGAAGAAGGATAACATATCCCATCAAACAATGATTGGGAAATAATAGCAGAGAAATAACAAGTGACATATCTACTGCCAACTAGCACACCACCCTGCAACATGCCGTAGACCCTCCTGACTTTTGAGTAGACTCAAAAACCCTCCAAACCACCGCCCCAACCAAACCCCCACCCTCTTTCCCCTCCCTCCGTCCCTCCCTCCTCTCCTCTCCAACTGCCTTTCCCCTCCGTCATTCGTCCGTCCGTCTGTCCCTCCCTTCTTCCCCATCACGCACGCGGATGGCGGTCCAGGCAGCTTTAATGAGTCCGCGAGTGCACCGCAGCATGAGGCGAGCACTCATGTTGGGCTGCAGCAGCGCATACTCTGTGCGCCACTGCACCGCTAAGTACCGCACCTGGGGGGAGTAGAGGTGGGGGTGTGGGGGGAAGTGGGGTGTGGGGAAGTGGGCTGGTGTTTTTTGTCAGCCGACTCTCATGCTGGGCTGCTGCAGGGCATACTCCGTTCGTGCAGAAAAAGAGGGGCGAGGAGCGGGAAAGGCGGGAAAGAAAGTGCATGAGGCAATGGGGGGGAGATTCGAGGGTGTGGGTGGGAGAGAGACGGGGTTGAGAGAGACAGCACGGGAGGAAGGAGGTTCGCATCAGTGGCTCCTCAAAGCACCCCTGGTTGACATACCATTCGAGTCACTGATAGTTGACCATTTGAGTCACTGATATTTGAGTCAACTCAAAAGTCAACACTTGATGAAGGAGGTTGACTGTTGACAGTTGACATTTGGCATTTCAATCCACTGGCCTGTCTCCCCTCCCCTCCACCCCACGCCTTACCTGCCCTGGCTGGGTGGCGCCTGAGCTGCTCCCGGAGGCTGTGGGGTGGGGGATGGAAGCCAGGCCGGGGCCGTTTGAGCCGTGGGCGTGGAGTTGGCAAGGCAAGCACAAGGCGACCGGATTCATTACCACTTACTGCCTCGACCCCCCCACCCCACACCCTACCTGCCCTGGGTGGCGCCTGAGTTGCTCCCGGAGGCTGTTGGGAATGGTGGCCGGCGCGGTGGCAGCAGTGGGTGTGGAGTTGGCAAAGACGAGGTGCGTCATGCTGGCTGCTATGGCCTTGAGATGCGGGGCGAACTCTATGGCTCTGATGGCGGGCTGGACCAGGGAGGGGAGACGGGGGAAGGGGCGGAAGATGGGGAAGAGAAGGATGGGATGCAGGGTGGGAACGAGGGAGGAGAGGAAGGGGAGACGAGAAGGGAAGGTGAGGTTCAAAGAGCACCTCTTGCAGAGCACCTCTTGCAGAGCAACTCTTGCAGAGCAACTCTTGCAGAGCAACTCTTGCGGAGCAACTCTTGCAGGGTGCAACCATATTCATGGTTCACCAACAGGACTGCAGAGTGAGCAGCAGCCATGGGCAGAAAACACCCCTCACCACCCCTGACCACCCCTCGCCACCCCTCACCATCACCCCTCACCATCACCCCGCACCACCCACCCCGACGACGTCTGGCAGAAAGTACGCCTCGTCAGCAAGCTTGTACACGAGGATGACGTCAGCAGCCGCCACGTCATCCTCCCGGAGAGCCGCCAGGAGCGCGTCGGAGGCGTCTTGGGTGTGGCGGCGGTGCTCCTCCTTCACACAGCGGATGCGGAGGGGGAAGGACAGGATGTCCCGCGCCCACGGGTGCTCTTTGAACGCTGGCTGGTGGTGGTGGTGGGGGGACGGGGGAGGGGGAAGATGGAGGGGCGGTTGAGGGGAAGGCCGTGGGAGGGGGGATGGGGGGTTGTTTGTTGGAAGGAGAGGGGGATGATTCGCGCTCACGGGTGCTCCTTGGGTGCCTGGCAGCTTCTCAAAGACTGGCCAGGAGCGCGTCGGAGGCGTCTTGGGTGTGGCGGCGGTGCTCCTCCTTCACACAGCGGATGTGATGCGGTGGGGGAAGGAGAGGATGTCCCGCGCCCACTGGTGCTCTTTGAACGCTGGCTGGTGGTGGTCGGGGGATGGGTGGAGGGGTAATGGGGGAAGACGAGGGGTGATTAGGAAGTGGGGCGGGGTGGGGAGACGAAAAACGAGGGGTGTAGTGTGGTGAAAAGGGATGCGTGGGCCGGGGTGGTCCCCTGGGTGGCCGGTGTGGGGGGATGCGGGTGTGGGGGGATGCGGGTGTGGGGGAATGCGAGTGTGGGGGGATGCGAGTGTGGGGGAATGCGAGTGTGGGGGGATGCGGGTGTGGGGGAATGCTGGTGTGGGGGAATGCCGGTTTCATGCAGGTCGGGAGAGGAGAACTAGAGAGAGAGGAAAGGGGAGCATGTCGTCCACAGGAAGACTTGGATTCGAACCGGACTTGGATTCAAGCAAGGCTTCCTGTGGAGGGAAATGCCGGAGTGGTCTAGACTTCCTTTGCTTTGAGACGTCTCAAATGCCGGAGTGGTCTAGACTTCCTTTGCAAGAGGAAAGGAGAGCATGTCTTTTGAGAATTCTCAAAAAGCACTCACAGAAGAACATGCTCCCTGTTTCTTGAGAAATTTCTGCTGAATCTGTTTTTTTGGAGAGTTCTAAAAAAAACAGATACAGCATGTCCTGCACGCAAAGAAGATCACTCCACCTCTCACCCACCCTCTCACAGAATGATGCAGCACAGAAGATCATTCCACCTCTTTCTCGCCTCCGCAGCCCACCTGTCTTCTTTTGACAGCTCCTGCACGCACAGAAGATCACTCCACCTCTTTCTCGCCTCACCCCCCCTTCCAACCACCTCCACCCCTCACCCACCCACCCGCCCTCCCTCCACCCACCCCCCCTCCCTCCACTTACCCGCCCTTCCACCTGCCGCCAGATTTGCTGGTTGCACCGGTGCCGTGCCTTGTGCAGCACCAGAGTCTTCATCTGGAGTGGCCGCTGCAAGCGCTGCACGGGTGGGTGGGAGGAAGTAAAGAGTTGAGAGAGGGGGTTGGGGAGCAAGCAAGCAAGCAAGACAGTTGAGAGCTTTGAGATGTCTGTGCCAGTTCCATGTGCGCACCGGTTCCATCTCAGAACCCAGATTTGCCGGTTGCATCTGTGCCATGCCTTGTGCAGAACCAGCGTCTTCATTTGCAGCGGCCGCTGCAAGCGCTGCATGCACGAATGGAAGGAAGGGTTTGGGGGAGGGGGTTGCGGAAGGGAGCCGGGTTGGGAGGGAAGGAGCAGAGCATGCAAGGCGTTTGCATCTGTGCCATGCCTTGTGCAGCACCAGCGTCTTCATTTGCAACGGCCGCTGCAAGCGCTGCATGCACGAATGGAAGGAAGGGTTTGGGGGAGGGGGTTGCGGAAGGGAGCCGGGTTGGGAGGGAAGGAGCAGAGCATGCAAGGCGTTTGCATCTGTGCCATGCCTTGTGCAGCACCAGCGTCTTCATTTGCAACGGCCGCTGCAAGCGCTGCATGCACGAATGGAAGGAAGGGTTTGGGGGAGGGGGTTGCGGAAGGGAGCCGGGTTGGGAGGGAAGGAGCAGAGCATGCAAGGCGTTTGCATCTGTGCCATGCCTTGTGCAGCACCAGCGTCTTCATTTGCAACGGCCGCTGCAAGCGCTGCATGCACGAATGGAAGGAAGGGTTTGGGGGAGGGGGTTGCGGAAGGGAGCCGGGTTGGGAGGGAAGGAGCAGAGCATGCAAGGCGTTTGCATCTGTGCCATGCCTTGTGCAGCACCAGCGTCTTCATTTGCAACGGCCGCTGCAAGCGCTGCATGCACGAATGGAAGGAAGGGTTTGGGGGAGGGGGTTGCGGAAGGGAGCCGGGTTGGGAGGGAAGGAGCAGAGCATGCAAGGCGTTTGCATCTGTGCCATGCCTTGTGCAGCACCAGCGTCTTCATTTGCAACGGCCGCTGCAAGCGCTGCATGCACGAATGGAAGGAAGGGTTTGGGGGAGGGGGTTGCGGAAGGGAGCCGGGTTGGGAGGGAAGGAGCAGAGCATGCAAGGCGTTTGCATTTGTGCCATGCCTTGTGCAGCACCAGCGTCTTCATTTGCAACGGCCGCTGCAAGCGCTGCATGCACGAATGGAAGGAAGGGTTTGGGGGAGGGGGTTGCGGAAGGGAGCCGGGTTGGGAGGGAAGGAGCAGAGCATGCAAGGCGTTTGCATCGGTGCCATGCCTTGTGCAGCACCAGCGTCTTCATTTGCAACGGCCGCTGCAAGCGCCGCATGCACGAATGGAAGGAAGGGTTTGGGGGAGGGGGTTGCGGAAGGGAGCCGGGTTGGGAGGGAAGGAGCAGAGCATGCAAGGCGTTTGCATCGGTGCCATGCCTTGTGCAGCACCAGCGTCTTCATTTGCAACGGCCGCTGCAAGCGCTGCATGCACGAATGGAAGGAAGGGTTTGGGGGAGGGGGTTGCGGAAGGGAGCCGGGTTGGGAGGGAAGGAGCAGAGCATGCAAGGCGTTTGCATCTGTGCCATGCCTTGTGCAGCACCAGCGTCTTCATTTGCAACGGCCGCTGCAAGCGCTGCATGCACGAATGGAAGGAAGGGTTTGGGGGAGGGGGTTGCGGAAGGGAGCCGGGTTGGGAGGGAAGGAGCAGAGCATGCAAGGCGTTTGCATTTGTGCCATGCCTTGTGCAGCACCAGCGTCTTCATTTGCAACGGCCGCTGCAAGCGCTGCATGCACGAATGGAAGGAAGGGTTTGGGGGAGGGGGTTGCGGAAGGGAGCCGGGTTGGGAGGGAAGGAGCAGAGCATGCAAGGCGTTTGCATCGGTGCCATGCCTTGTGCAGCACCAGCGTCTTCATTTGCAACGGCCGCTGCAAGCGCTGCATGCACGAATGGAAGGAAGGGTTTGGGGGAGGGGGTTGCGGAAGGGAGCCGGGTTGGGAGGGAAGGAGCAGAGCATGCAAGGCGTTTGCATCTGTGCCATGCCTTGTGCAGCACCAGCGTCTTCATTTGCAACGGCCGCTGCAAGCGCTGCATGCACGAATGGAAGGAAGGGTTTGGGGGAGGGGGTTGCGGAAGGGAGCCGGGTTGGGAGGGAAGGAGCAGAGCATGCAAGGCGTTTGCATCAATGCTGTGCTTTGTGCAGCACCAGCGTCTTCATCTGGAGTGGCCGCTGCAAGCGCTGCACGGGTGGACAGAAGTTGGGGAAGGCGGCTGGGGAGGGGTTGGGAAGGAGGAAGCGAGCCGGCATCGGTGCCGTGCCTTGTGCAGCACCAGTGTCTTCATCTGCAGTGGCTGCTGCAACCGCTGTAAGGGGTGGGAGGGGCGCGCCGCGAGGGGAAAAGGGGGAGAGGTGAGGTTCAGGGGAGGCAGAAAGGTAAAGGTGGTAAAGGTATACTTGATGACTTTTGAGACGTCTTGGGATGGGAGTACTCGCAGAGTGAAAGGTTACATGATGCTGGAAAGATTGTCTGTCTGCTCTAAACTAAAACTCACGAGGGTACTTACAGAGAGAAGGGTTTGCAAGCCTCTCTACCCACCCACGTGCCCACTCAAGCACGCACATGCCCACTCCCAAGCACTCCCAAGCACTCCCGAACAACATGCCCACTCAAGCACGCACGAGCATCTCAGCCGCGAGGTAGTCCTCTGTGATCCACTCCATGTGCGCCGTGATCTTGTCAATGTTGAAGTAGGTGCAGAGCGGTAGGTCGCGGTCCATGCCGATGCGGCTGCGAGTGGAACAAGGGCAGGGATGAGAGCGATGACAAGGGACAGCGTGAGGTGAGAGGAATGGCGTGGGATGGGATAGGAGGCCTTCCCCCCTCACTGCCTCTCAGCGTGTTTTTGAGAATTCTCAAAAACCAGCTCGGAGGCCTTCCCCCCTCACTGCTTCTCAGCGTGAGGGGGCCTTTGGAGAAGTGAGCTGAGAGCGACTGAATAAAACCTTAATTTTTAGCTCCTTTTATGGTCCTTTTTAGCTCCTTTTATGGTCCTTTTTAGCTCCTTTTATGGTCCTTTTTTGCTCCTTTTCACAGCCACCCACCTGCTGCCCGCGTGTGTGAGCACAAAGGTGCGATTCGTGAGGTTTGCGATCGTCATCGCCTCCCCTAGATGCAGCCTGCTTCCCAGAGGAGAAGAGGGGGAGTGGGGGGGAGTGGGGGAGTAGTGGGGAGTGGGTGAGAGGGGGAGTGGGGGAGAGGGGGAGACGGGGAGAGAGGGGCTGTGTGGGGGGTGGAAAACTGCTGTTGCTGCTGCTGCTGCTTCTGCTGCCGCTGCTGCCCCAGCTGCTGCTGTTACTGCTGAGTGACTCACCTTGCTTTGGTGAGCTGCTCTCGCTCTGCTGCCAGCATCACGAATTTCCTCCCATTCTCCACTGCCCCTGCTCACACACCCGGAGGAGGGGAGACGTGCGGAGGCGGAGAGGTGCGAAGAGGGGGAACAGTGGAGGAAGGGAGCAGCGGAGGGGGCGTGGTGCCGAAGGGAAAGAGGTTTTTGTAGAGATAAACGAGGAGGGGGAGACGAGTAGGGAAAAGGGGGGGAGGGGGGAGAGGAGGACGAAGGGTGATTGAATCAAATCATAACCTATCACGAGCAGCAATGAGGAGGCAAGGCACGGTGGGGCAGAGTAGGCCAGGCATGGCATGGCATGGCATGGCATGGCATGGCATGGGACGAGATGGCTTCAACCCTGCATCTGTACCCGCCCAGCAGCACATAAAATTCTTTGTCCATCCACCCACCAATTTCGAAACCCTGAATCTGTACCAACCCACCGATACACCTATCCATCCATCCGTCCATCCATCCATCCGTCCATCCATCCATCCATCCATCCATCCATCCGTCCATCCATCCATCCATCCATCCACCCATCCATCCATCCATCCATCCATCCATCCATCCATCCATCCATCCATCCATCCATCCATCCATCCATCCATCCATCCATCCATCCATCCATCCATCCATCCATCCATCCATCCATCCATCCATCCATCCATCCATCCATCCATCCATCCATCCATCCATCCATCCATCCATCCATCCATCCATCCATCCATCCATCCATCCATCCATCCACCTACCCACCCACCCACCCATCCATCCATCCATCCATCCATCCATCCATCCATCCATCCATCCATCCATCCATCCATCCATCCATCCATCCATCCATCCATCCATCCATCCATCCATCCATCCATCCATCCATCCATCCATCCATCCATCCATCCATCCATCCATCCATCCATCCATCCATCCATCCATCCATCCATCCATCCATCCATCCATCCATCCGTCACCCACCGGCTAAATGGGGATGCGAGACATTCCGAGCTCGGTCGTCCCCACAGTTGTAGTAATCAAACTTGAAAGCCCCCCCGGCTTCTTCTCCTGCTTCTCCCACTGCTCCTCCTTCCCCCCCTGCTTCTTCGTCTGTTATTATAAAATCAGCACTCGCCACGTCCGCACCCCCACTTCCTGTCTCTAGCGCCATCTTTCGCGCTTCCGCGGAACCATCGGTTCCGCCGCTCTCCCCATCCGCAATCCCCTCCCCGTTCCCCATCCCATTCCCCGTTCCCCCTTCCCCTTCTTCGGCGAAATCCATGACGCTGTAATCCAGGCCGTCCATCCACGGCTCGATCTCCGGATTTCCCGGCGATTCCGCGATTCCCGCCGTCTGCGCCGCCGCAAACCGAGCCGGGCCTCCTGGTAATACTGGGGAGATGAGGACAGCGAGGACAAGCGGGAGAAGGAAGCGGAAGCGGAGGAGGCGGAGGAAGCGGAGGAGGCGGAGGAAGCGGAGGAGGGGAAGGTAGCGGAAGAGATGCGGAGATGCGGGGATCGGGTTGCCGTCAAATCGTTGAGCTTTTCGTAACGGGCGCGCTTCTCTAGAGCGCGATCGGCGCGAAGAGGTGGATTCCGCGGGAGCACGCGATTCATAGCATTCTACCCGCGCCGCGGCCAAAATCAAGGTGTGCAAATTCTGCCCAAGGTTTTCGTCCGGTTTGAGGTGCGAATCACATCTGTCTCGAGTGGCTCGAAGCGAATCTTTTTGACCCGAGAAACGCGGAAGCGGTGGTGTTTGCCGATGCCCCCGCAACGGCGACGGCGCGGCATCTTGCTCCCGCTCGACGCGATCGCGCGGAACGAGAAGTGGCTTAGAGCTCATGGCGGTCGGAGCGTTCAATTGGCAACATTAACGTCAGTTGCGGTGTCAAAGGAAGATGATCGGGGTGCTGGCGCCCTGTCGAGCGCGGGTAGCTAACAGAATACGGCCTAGAGTTCTTATTTGTAGTGCAGAAGAGGTGCGTTCCAATAGCTTGACTGATCTTCTTCCAATAGGTGGTGATGGTTGATGTTTGGATTTTGCGTCTACTCTCACGGCTTGATCAGCTACTACCCCAGCAAACAATTTTCAACAACTCCAATCGACGGGTTGAGTACGTTATGGCTCGGTACAGGGTGATATTGCGTGCTACGGAGGTTGCAGCAGTGTGCAGAGCGGAAAGTCGTTCGTCATACCGCCGACCAGGCAAGCCCTAGAGCCATCAACAACAATGCAAGCCTCCCCAAGCATCACCTACCTCCTGCCACCTTTGGTTTCGCCACAGCCTACAACACTAACAAGAAATGGAACATCTTGTACCCTTACGTAATATAATATATTTCAATGTTGTCTCATCCGCTAGCACCAACAAAACCAGGCGTATTTTTTATCATTATTTATAATAAAGATGTTTATGATATATTATTATCAATAGAAGAGCACGAAGTGATGGCTGGGATATCAGATTTATCCGCATTGTACAAACCTACATTTGCTTTGGGATTGGCTAGTAAAGGGTATGTGTATTCCGTGGTTGTCTTGACTCACTGATGCTGAAGCCTTTTTCAATGGCGGTTTCCCTTCCCCTCCAACAATTGTTTGTGGTTCCGATGCGCCTTCGATTGACTGACGGATCGCGCTGCAGAGCTTGGCGCAGTGGGCGCCAAAGCCAGTAGGAGATTCGTAACGACCAATCGAAAGGCCGCTCTACTCAAGTGGGACAGGCTTCCCAGTGGCAAAACCCAATTGGAAGGCCCGCAGCCCCCTCCAATAAATTTGTGCAGCTTCTGCAATGTTAGGGGGAGAAGTATCTTTCGGGCAAGGTTTTTTTATTTGGGGGAGCGGCGGTTCCACCACCTGGTGGTCAGCTGGTTTCGCGACTCGAAGGCCCTCGGGCAGATTTGTTTCGCACCAGACCAATTTTCGTAAAATTCGACACGAACGACGCTCCGCAGAAGCGGCTTGGAGATACCACGCCAGCACCGTAGTTTTCTGCGCCCTTCGGCAGGGAGGGATCTGCGCACACCCTTTCAGGGGCGCAGCACATGCGTCATGCAGCTGCGAACGAGGGGCATGCATGTTGTGCTGAATTCCACCCGCCAATGCGTTTCCTCCGAACAACCTGGTAAGCGTTGGGGGGTGAGGAAGGGAGGGGTGGATGAAGGGGGAAATGTGGGGGAAGGGGAAGTGGTGGGGAGATGGGGAAGCGGAGGAACGCGTTTCCGGGCAGAGTGGCGGGGTCCTGGTGGTATGAGGTAAGGGGAGGGAGGCGGAGAGGGGGGGGAGGGGGTGCAGCCCATTTGGGAACGCGTTTGGCATGGGGCTGGATTGGTTGGCAGTGACAGCCCTCGCGATTCGCGCGAACCATCGGAGTCGTTCTCGGGTCCGCGGGGCGCGAAGCGGGGGACCTGACGATGAGAGGAGATGAACCAAGCTGACCGGGCAGACACAGGTCGGTCTTTCGCTGTCAAGCTGGAACTAACATCGAAGTGACGGTTCTCGTGGGGCAGTGTACCAAATTTCCCCTTGGCTGAATCAATATTATTTAGTGTGGCGATTGGCTAGCCTCAGCATCTTGATTCAAGTTCCGCCAGCTCCTTCTCCTGCCCCAAACCCAAACGCCAAGCAGGCCCATCAGACGACAATCAGGACGGTGACGAGGTAGAGAAGCGCGCCTGCTCGTTGCGCGGATGCCCGTGTCGGCAAATTCGGAGGGGCGCTAGGCTGGCTGAGGAGGGCGAGCGAGCGAGAGGCGCCGCGGGATGCGCTAAAATGAGGCGCAAGAGTGCTTCTGACGCGCCCGCAGACCGGAGAAAAAAAAATGTCGTTTCGTTGAGCCATTGCAACCTTTGGCTGTTGCTTGGTGCGAGTGGCGTATGGATTTTTTTTCTCTGAACAAACAAACAAGCAAAACGCGCAGCAGGCAAGCCCCACTCCCTTCCCCGTTTCCCCTTCCCCCACCATTCCGCCTCCGCCCTTCCCTCCCATCCATCCATCCATCCATTCCCCCCATCACACATGTGACATCACCATCACCCTGCGCTCATCTTTTGGCGAGGCGGGCTCCCCGTCATTTCCTGAAAGCAAGCAAGCTTCACCAGATTTTCCATCAGCAGCGCTGTGAGTTGAGTTGATACTCCTCGAGAAGTCCTCCCTCTAACTTCGCTGATACAAGCCCTAAGCCAAACTGAATCCACGCAACAACGCACAAGCAGATTCACGCTCTTGTTCCCTGTCCTCCCCTCCTTGCGTTTCACGCTCTGCCAGTTCAACTTAACTATTCTGTTTCGTCTAGTATTCCCCGCCAAACCTAGTTCAGATCGGGATTCGCACTCTGCCACTAAATCCTCCCTCCCATCGCGCCATGGATTTGAAGCAACAATCGAAAAAACGGGGCCATCCTTCACGGAAAGATCCAGCCGTCCGTCTGCCTATCGGCTCGCAACTTCGCCTCCTATGGCCGCGCGACGGCCGCTGGCACATGGGATCCGTCACGAAGTTCGACCCGAAAAAGGCGCTTCACACGGTCGTCGTCGAGCGGGGGGATTCAAAACGCGTCGACTTGCGAAATCTACCGTGGGAGTTGATTTCCACCCCTTCTGCGACGCACGTTATTCCGCTACGCCCTGTGTATCCTGGGTTTCAGCCGCCCTTCGACCCCGCCACTTCCGCCGCAGTTGACGGGTGCTTTTGGAGCAGAATCCATCCGTTGCAAACCGTCGTCCAATCAGCAGAGGCTCTGTCGCAGAACCTGTCGCAGAATCTGTCGCAGAATCTGTCGCAGAACAACCAGCCTCCAGTCCCCGCTGCCTTGCCGCTGAAGTTGCAACTTCCAGCATGCGTACAGGCTGCCACCGCCGCCGCCGCCGCCGCCACTGCCGCTACGGACCTGCCGTCCGTCCGATCCGTGCCAGCCGCGTCGCTGTCGGCGAGCTTCTCTCACGGCCACCGCTTGGAACGGCCGACAGCGTCGACGGCCGCCGGCGCGCGAGCCGACGCGCTGATGGCGGCCGTTGCCGTCGCCGCCGCATCCGAAGCGGGTAGCCGTCAAGGAGCGGACGAGCGAGTACCGGTTATGATCCCGACGGGTGAGGACGAATCAGAAGAAGGCAGTCAGATATCGTGGGCGTCGAATCGGCCCATTGGTTCGGGTTTCGGGTTTGCTTCGGTGTTTAAGACCGGCGGAGGCAGCGGCGGCGGTGGAAGCGCTTTTCGCCGGTGGCAGGGGCGCGGACGCAACAGCGCGTGCGCGTTCCCGCGGCTGGCGGAAATGGGAGCGGGAGTGGCGGAAAAGGGGGCCGGAGCGTGCGGCAGCGGCAGCAGCAGCAGGTGCAGCGAGAACGAGCACGAGGGTAGCGAGCAGGCGGATGAGCAAAGCGCGGCCGCGAGTAAGGACGAAGGATGGGCTGGATGCGGCTCGGAAAGCATGTCTGACGGCGAATGTCGAGGCGACGGCGGCGGCGACGGCGGTGCTAGCAACAGCGGGAAATCCCCCGAGGACGAGGTTCTGAGCGCGCGGGAGAGCCGCGCGTTGGATTGGGGCGCGGATTTGACGATTGCGGGGGCTGGCGCGGGGAAGAAGCGCAAGGGCGAGGCCGTCAGTCGAGACGAGGTGGCGCTTATTATGGCCGTTGCGAAGCGGCTTAAAACGGAGCATGACGTGGAGCCGGACGAATGCCCTGGAGCCTCGTCTGTCGCCGGATGGTGGCAGAAGGACTGCGAACTGGCGGCGGCATCGCTCCTATTGGCTCCGCCAAGCGCGGCGGAATCTGCGGCAGCGACAGACGCGGCGGCGGACGCTGTGGCTGAAGCCCCCGCGATCGAGACGCGCGACGCGGCGGGAATGGTTGGCGGCCAGGCCGGCTCCGCGGTGCAGGCGAAGCGGCTCGAAGGGGTGAACGTGCAGCGCGCAGCGGGCAAGGGGGGAGTCCCGGAGCTGCTGCCGCTGCTGGCGGAAGCGCGAGGAGCGCTCGCGGGAGAGGCGGAGGAGGTGGCGCGCGGGGTTGGGGCGGCGGAGGAGGAGAAGCGGGCGGAGAGTGAGAGGGAGAAGAGTGGCATGTGGCTTGAGCTTGGCAATGCGGGTCAGCCCTTCGGGACGTCTGGAAACCCCGGGACCCCTGGGACCTCCGGGTTGTCTGAGACCTGTTCCCGAGCCTGCTCCAGTGGCGGATCATCCCCTGCTGCTGCTGCGTCCTCTCCTGCTGGTGTTGCTGCTGCTGCTGCTGCTGCTGGTGCTGCTGCTGGTGCTGAGGGTGCTGGAGCTGGGCGTGTCGAGGATTCACCTGCATTTGCTCTGACCCTCTCTTGCTCCTCTGCTCCTCCCGCTCCTCTTCCTGCTGCCGCACTGGCTTCGGCTGCTGCTGCTGCTTCTCCTGCTCTTGACGCTGCTCCAACTGCTGCTCATACTGCTCCTCCTGCTCCTCCTCGTGCTGCTACTCCTGCTGCTCCTCCTGTTTCCTCCACGCCTGTGATCTCACGGCCGGTGGCTCTGCGTGTGAGCGCCCGTCCGTCTGCGGCAGTTGTGGCCACAGCTACAGCCCCGGCCCGTGCAGCCCCTGCTCCTGCTGCTACACCTCCTGTTGCGAAGCCACCACTTATTCTTCGCCCCGCTGGCCCAGCTGGCCCAGCTGTGCCTGCTGTGCCAGCTATGCCTGCTGTGTCCGCTGTGCCTGCTCTCCGCCTCCCCATGCTGTGCCTCCCCAAGGTGGTTGCTCACTCTCCTCCTCCACATGAACCGCCTGCTTCTTCTAACACCATTGCCGCCGCCTCTGCAGCTGCTGCTGCTTCTGCCACCACTGCCGCTGCTCCTGCTTTTGCTGCTGCTGCTGCTCCTGCTCCTGCTCCTGCTCCTGCTCCCGCTGCTGCTGCTGCTGCTGCTGCTGCTGCTGCTGTGCCTAGGATCGTTTGTCCGGTGCCGTCAACGCCGGTTGCTGCTGCTATTCCCACGGTGGCCTGCAGCGGTGGGAGCATCAGCACGAGGAGTCCAGGAAGGTGCAATGCGGTTCCTCTGCTGGTGCTCCCTAACTGCAAGCAGCTACTGCAGGAGAAGCCGACGCAGCAGCAGCAGCAGCCTCAGCCTCAGCCTCAGCCGCAGCCGCAACCGCAACAGCAGCAGCAGCGTGTGCCACTGCAGCAGCAGCAGCAGCAAAATGTGGTACTGCCTCAGATGCTGCAGAAGCAGCAGCCAGTGGTTGCAACAGCTAGGTGTGTACCTGCATCACCACTGCTACACCTCCCCAAGGGGCTTGTTCAGAGTCCCAAGCAGTCCCGAACACACCCCCATCAGCAGCCGCCGCAGCTGCTGCAGCAGCAGCTAACGCCTTTGGTGCGGATGTGAGTGGCGACTGACAACAGCATTAGTGGCTGCGGATACTTCATACATGCCAAAGTGTATTGGCGACGAAGTGTATTGGTGTATACAAGCTGGTGATCTTTGCGTCTGTAGCTGCTGGCTACTGGGCAACAAGAGAGCCGTTATGCTGGGTTTGACTTTTGTTTGCTCTTTTTCAGAAGGTTATACTGGTAATAGTGTGCTTTGTGTAGTGTGTATCTGCTGCGACTGTAGGCTTCGTATAACTAACCTCTTACAGAGGCACATAATTTTGTAAAGTTTAATAATGTTCAGCAATAGCTTTGTTCGTTATGACACTAAGGCAGTTGCTGGAATTAGACATCTTGACGGGATTAGAGAGTACCGTATAGTGGGATCAGAAACCATATCAGGGGATAGACATCTTGGAAGTACATTTTTCCTCATTGGAGACACATTAGGGTGAGGACAAGCGGGTACTAAGAAAAGAATGATCAAGAAGCCAGAAAATGAGACATGAGAGAAGGCTCATCTCATCACTCATCTCCTTGAAGCGCTATCTATCACCATCCATCGGGTAATGCAACCTCCTGCCACCAGAGCCAGTCTACTCTACTATCTCCAAGTCGCAACTCGCAACCCCCGAGCAGCACATTCGCTTGATCTGGGTCGACTGACTCGAATCTACTAACCAACCCTTGTCCAGCCTCTTCCGGCAAGTGGCAGCGCCGCAGCGGCACAGAAGCTTCTTCACGTTTCCGTCCCCATCCGTGACACTATCCACCTGGTAGTACACCCGTGATCACATGTGAGCTCCTCGCAGGGCGGGATGTTGTCGTATGCAAAGAGCATGATGTGCGGCAGGCGGTGGTCGTGGTGGTCGAAGTGTTTTGAGACGTCTCAAAACACTTCTTCAATCACGTGGTGGTCATGGTGGTCGTAGAACACGACAGCACGAACAGGATCGATGGGCGGTTGCGTTGCCCAATCCATCCGCCCACCCGCGGTCCAACCAGCACCCGTTAATACAGCCTTTTCCTGCAAGTGGCCGCCCCACAGTAACACAGGAGCTTCTTCACGTTCCCATTGCCGTCAATCACACTGTCCACCTGGTACCCGTAATCATACGTGAGTTCCTTCAACGGCGGGATGTTATCGTACGCAAAGAGCATGATGTGTGGCAGGCGGTGGTCGTGGTGGTCGTAGAACACACACTGCACGAACAGGTTGGGGTTGCAGCTGTGGTTGATGAAGCGCGCCACGTTGCCCATACGCTTGGCGTCCAGACAGAAATGGAGATCCTCGTGTGGTGCTGCTGCTGGTGCTGATGCCGCTGCTGCTGGTGGTGCTGCTGCTGCTGCTGGTGGGGCTGCTGCTGCTGCTGCTGCTGGTGCTCTTGTGTCACGTGAACGCTCACCGCTCTCACTGCCCTTGTGCCTCCCGTGCTGCCTGGTTGACTCATGCGGCAACTCTGAACCCCTGTGGCGCCTCATTGACCCACGAGTCTCGTGAGAACCCCTGTGGTGCCTTGTTGACCCACGAGGCTCGTGAGAACCCCTGTGGTGCCTTGTTGACTCATGAGTCTCATGAGACGCGTCAGAGCCCCTGTGGTGCCTGCTTGAATCATGCCCACGAGCCCGCTTTCCGTAGTCCCCTTCACCACCATCATACCCACCATATCCACCACCACGACCACTGCCACCACCGCCACCATCATCGCCACCACGACCACCTCCTGAAAGCCCTCTCCTGTCCCTGTCCGCCTCTCTCCCTTCCTCTCTCTCCTCCCTCCTGCCCTCTCCCATTCGCGCTTTCCGCTCCCGCGTGCTATCCCTTCGCACTCCACCCCCCAACCCCTCCTCCCCTTCCCCCTCCTCCTCTTCCTCATCTAAACCACCACCAGCACCGGCACCAGCAGCAGCACCACCAGGAGCCCTGGCCCCACCATTTCCTCCATCCTCACGGCTACCGCCAAGAATGCCCGACACATCGCCCCAGCGTTCCTGAATCCCCCGAGCGAGATCCAAATCGAACAAGTACTCATCGTTCCCTCTCAGCGTTTCCGCATCATCATCCCTCATAAGGTCTCCCGTGTACTCACACACAAAGTGACCTGCAGGAATAGCATCCCACGACCGCACCCCCCACCCCTTGTTCTCCGTTTTGAACACCTCCAAACGCACCTGCACGCCTTTCTGGCTCACCCTGTTGATACACGCACTGCTGCTGCTACTGCTGCTGCTGCTGCTGCTACTACCAGCGTTGCTGCGACCGGTGCAGGAGCAGGCGCACTGCGGGCCACACTCGTAGATAACTTGCTGTGCTTCTATCAGCCCACCCTCGCGTGTGAAAGGCAGCATGCCTCCGTTCAGCTGGGCGCACTCACACGCAGTGGCATCCACACACCCATCCGTGCAGGAACAGCCAAGCACCGGTGGCTGTAGATCAATTGCTGCTGCTGCTGCAGCAGCGGCAGCAGCAGCATCACCACCAGCACCAGCAGCAGCACCACCACCAGCAGCAGCAGCCTGGGCTGCTTCTCGCCTCGCCAGTTTCCTCAGAGCCTCGGCGTGGTTCATACTTCTGATGTACTGAAACGCAGGAGGAGGCACAGGTTGCTTATCCACTGTATTCACAGCACACACCGGCCGGCTCTCCTTCCCGTGAGAAATATCCTCCGCCACCACCCCCCTCCTGTCCTTGGACTTAGTCCCGCTTTTCAACGACGCTCTGACAAACTCCACGGTTGGGGTTTGCAGCGCCGGCTGCCCTTCCTCCCTCTCCATCCGGAATTTGAAGATCATGTGGCCGGAATCCCCCGGGATATGCTCACTGCGCACGACTCGGTATAAGCCGTCGTAGGTGTAGACCATTTTGGTGTAGCTCGCTGGTTCTTTCACCCCGCGAATCACACGCACGGGCAGCTTCAACTTTTCGCTGTTGGCCAGTGCAAGATTCCCCCGCTCCAGCTGCTGGTCCTTCAGCTGTGTCCGATCCCCGCGGTAATTATTTCCGCCCTGCCCGGTGTAATCAAACCACTGCCCGTTATCCTCATCATCCTCATACCCACCGGATAGCACCACACAAGACGCTACCTCCACTCCCCACTGGTTCGCCCCGGAAGGAGAATAATCTATCCCCCCCTGCGCCTGGAGATTAACTCCCACCACCGCCATCTCCTGCCTACTAAAGAACTGAAACCCTACCGGAACGCCCGGAACATGGCCTATGACGCGTGCCTTTTCATTGTTGATTACCAGACCTTGCCTCCGCATGGTTTTCCCTGCGGAGAGATCCGGTCGCTTATTGTACAGATTTTTCGCCATCACCTCTTCCAACAGCTCTGCAACCCTCTCAACGTTCTCTTCTTCCGGATCTTCTTCTTCGTCCCCTTCCCCTTCGCCCCTCCTCCCGCTACCAACACCTGCTCTTGTTCCCACCCTCCACTTCCCTCCCACTTTCTTCCCTCTCCCTACCTCAACCCCTCGCCCTTTCCCTTTCCCTCCTCGCCCTTTCCCTCCTTTCCCGCCCCCTGCTCGCCGCCGGTTGAGAGCAGCAAGCTTAGCCTTAGCAGCCAGGTGTAACTCATTAACGCGTACGTAGTGCCTCCTGAGAGCCTCGTATGTACGGAGCGTCTTCACCACAGCCAACGCCGCTTCTCCTTCTCCTCTGTACGTCCCTTGCGTCCCATCATTATTCTCCTCTCTTGCCCGCATCCCACCACCCAAGTCCTCCTCTTCCTCCTCCCTCTCCTCCGCCTCCTTTTCTTCCTCCTCTTCATCACCCCTCGCACCTTCCCCAACACCACCACCCGCACAAGCGGCGGCACTTAGCAATCCGGCCACGTTGGCAGGGCCCATTAATTTGGGCTGCAATTTCTGCAGCAGCTGCCCGGCGCTCTCGTCGTGGAGCTGAATGGCGGCGCACGCGAGCTCAGCAGCCATGTTTGCGGGCAGGTCGGGCAGGGAAAAGTCTTTTGGAAGCGGGTTGGGCAACCGGTAACCTATGAGACGGAAAGGGGGACAGAAATGTTTTAGTAAGGGGGACAAGTGTGAGGTATATAGTCGTGAAACCAAGACAGGCAAAAAGCAAGGGAAAAAGGCCGATGGCTAGGGAAACGAGATGGGACCCGGGAGGGGAAGAGCAACTGGAGAGAGGAGAGAGTTAGCGAAGAGAGATCCGAGGAGTGTAAAGGGTGTCAGCTCGTTACGGGAGTATGAATACGTAAGAAACGTTGCTGTTTGTACAATAAGAGTGCAACTCACCTCATTAAAGACAATTGAGTTGACTCAAGAGTCAACTCGCTGTGTATACAGTAAGGGAGCACCACTCACCTCGTTAGAAACGATTGAGACGACTCAAATTTCAACTCGCTGTGTCTACAAAAAGGGCGAACCACCTCGTTAGACACGTCAACTCAAAAGTCAACTCGCTGCGTCTACAATAAGGAAGCATAATTCACCTCGTTTGAAGACAACGGCTTTCTTGCGCACGTGAGAGGCTCGACTCGGCCTCGCCGGCACCACGGCCTTCCTCGTCTTTTCCGGGATCTCATCGTCAGCCTCATCGTTGCTCCGCGGGTCGTCCTGCACGTGCGTATCCAGCATCGGGTCAGCAAGGATCGTGTCCACGTCAGACGGCACCAGCGCCAGCGCGAGTGATGACGGGGAAGCCGCTGTTGCTGTCCCCGCTATGGAGGCATTCACTGGAAGAAGATCGTGAGAGGAAAAAGACGCGTCGGCCATGTCTGATCGACTCGCGGCAGCCACCATGTCTTCCTGCGCTGTCCAATTATCCAAATTAACGGTGTTACCACCGCTGTTAGTCACGGTGTTACAACACGTGTCACCACCGCCCTGAATGTAAACGGTGATCCACGACTTTCAGCCAATGCGCAAGTGGAACTAAAAAGCAGCAGATACGCGAGAGATTCTTTCGCACTGATTGCAGTCACATAGCGATGCCTCGGTCCCGCCGACCACAGGAGGAGACACCAGGGAACGTCTCGAGGGATGAATTGACGAGGAAGAGAACGCGAGAGAGGCGGGTGCGCGCGATAGGTCACACACTCTCACCACGCTCGTTCGAAAGCGGTCGCTGTCGCTCAATTGTGCAACTATCACGGTTCTGGGTGGAGCAACACGGCGGAGTCGAGGGAAACAGAAAGACGGAGTGCGAAGGGAAGCCTCGGTGCGAAGGGATGAGATGTGCCAGCTTTGTTGGCTGTGAGCTGGCAACAACTGCTGAATGTTCTTGTGCACAGCAACCAGCAGTTTTGTTGGCGGTATGAGCTGACAACATCTTTTCTTTCGCTAACGAAGCAGTATTCTAGAAAAATACTCAAAGCTCGTGTCACCCTGTGGCCTTCGCCCGCCCACTGAATCAAACCACTGGCTAGTGCTTTGGTGGTTCCAAAACATTCGCGTTTTCGGTTTCGTTTCAATTCGAACAGTCTGTAGTGAAAGTCAAATACCCCCGCAGCTCTCGAGAATGTCATTTGCGGCCATCCACCCGCCCAACCAGCTTCGATGAATTTTGAATGCGCCAATTCGAAGTTCGAAGGTTCAGAATTTCGACAACACGATCGGTGTAACAAGTATCGTTAAACGAACTAGTCAGAATGTTATGAGTTGTGAAAGGAAGAGTGCGCAGAACTCAATAATGCGGAAGTGATTACAACGTCTGAGAACACGAGGCCTAGGACTAATATAGCGAAGCTAGCTAGGCCGAGGTCACGGGGTCGCGAGATGGTTGGGTGCAGGTTCGGGGCTGGGAAACCCGAAAGCGACGCGGTAGTGGCTCGGAAGGCGAGGTCGGCGGACCGGGCCTGGTTTTCCGAAAGTCGGGGTTGTACGCGTACAGCGTGACCCAGTAAGGAATCTGAAAAATTCCTTACACTACCCCCCCCCCCCCCCCCCATTAAGAAAGGTGGTGAATATCCGAGAAACCTCGGCGGGCCAGGTAAGCATCCACAACCGGATGTCCCAGTAGTGAGTCAGCGGCGACATACGTGTCGTCCTCGCTCGTGCGTTCTTTCCAGCGAAGCAGGAATTTCACTGAGCGGCCGGTGGCGGTCACGTCCACGCGATGGTTGAGAATCTTCTAAGGTTCCAGCGTGGGCTCTGCCACGGGGCGTGTGGTCGGCGTGATGGTTGGCCGAGCAACAGCTGGCGATTGCGGCTGTTCGTAATGACGCAGCAGACTGACGTGGAAAGCGTCGTGTGTTTTCCAGTCGTCGGGCAGCAGCAGCTTCGCGGTGACAGGTGTCACCATCTGGATAATACGAAATAGTCCCACGTATCGGCGCCGTAGTTTCGCGGGCTGCGGCAGTTTGAGATTCTTAGTGTCCAGGAGTACAACCTGTTAGAATCCCGACCACTAGACCATTGAGATAAAAGGGCTTATTAAGTAGCGGGTTAGTGCGCCCATAACCCCCCAGGCCAACGTGCCTGCAACCCTTCCCTAGGATCAATCGGGGATCACCAGTGGACCTCTGACATCCCCCCGCACTGGGATGCACGAAGTGCATACACCGGGATTCGAACCCAAGACCTTCGCTCTGATACCATGTCAGAATCCCAACCACTAGACCATTGGGATAAAAGGGGTTGTTAAGTAGCGGGTCAGTGCGCCGATAACCCCCTAGGCCAACGTGCCTGTAACCCTTCCCTAGGATCAATCGGGGATCACCTGTGGACCTCTGACACAACCTGCCCTGCGCGGAAGAGTAAATTCCGTCAATGTTTATCCGCCTAGCGGCTGGCCGTGGTATTAGCTTTACGAATGAAATCAGCTGCTTTTGTGTGGGCGGTCTGCAGCTCCGTGACAAACTGCTGCGATCTTGGAACCGGGTTTTCCACAGTCGTTGAAGAGGGTACCACGGGGTCGATCCCGTAATTCAGGAAGAAGGGTGATTGTTGAGTCGTGGCCGATGGGGCGTTGTTGTATGCGAATTCCAGCATCGGCAGTGAATCTTCCCATTTGCGAATGTCGGGGCAGTTGGTGCGAATCAGTTGCTCCATGGTCTGATTTGTCCGTTCCGTCTGTCCGTCGGTTTGCGGGTGGTACGACGATGAAAACTGCAGGCGGGTACCATACTGTGCCCACGTCTCCTGCCAGAACTTCGACGTAAATTTCGGGTCACGATCGCTGATGATCGCCGAAGGTAACCCGTGTAAGCGTACGACGGTGGAGATGAACACTTTGGCTGTATCTTCGGCAGTGATCGTCGTTCGGCAGGGGGCGAAATGCGCCATTTTTGTTAGGCGATCGACGACGACCGTTACCGAGTCATTGCCACTCGTGCCAGCTGGGAGCCCCATGACGAAATCCATCGTCACCTGTTGCCACGGTCGTTCGGGTGGCGCGAGGGGTTGCAGCAGTCCGGCTGGCCTTTGTCTCCACGACTTTATTGCTTGGCAGTTCGGGCAAGTTGACACGTAGCGCTGCACATCGGTGTGCATGTTCGGCCAGTAATAATTCCGTTGCAGCAGCTTCAGTGTTTTGTCGGTGCCAAAATGCCAGGAAAGGTTGGAGTCGTGAACCTCCTGCGTCAGCAGCTCCCGCAAAGGTCGATATGCTGGTACCCAAATCCGGTTCGTACCGGCTTTTAGGTAGTACTTGTCGTGCGGTGTGGCGGCCTGTTGTTGCGGATTCCGAAAAAACCTGTCGATCTTGTAGCCGTGGGTGAATAGTCCTGTCAGCATCGGGTTGGTGTGGGCGATTAGTACCGCCGCGTTTTGCATGGATGGCCTGGTGAGGGCGTCGGCGATGTTGTTGGCGCCTTTCTTGTACGTGACGGTGTACCAAAAATTGGACTCGGGTTTGTCCAACCACCGGATTTGTCGCGGGTTGAGTGTCGGTTGCGTGCGCATGTACTGTAGCGATTTGTGGTCGGTCCGAATTGTCACGTCGGCTCCCGTGAAATAGCAGCGCCAGGTATGAATTGTGTCAGAGTATTATAGCTGATGCATGTTTGTAGGCTATAGTGGGGTAGCACATATGGGGTACAGATTTCTAGGGTTATATTTGTACCCAACTCTGACTTAGTCACATTTTCATTCCTGTTCACTTGTTTCACATGGTATAGAGCGGGTCCTTCCTTAGGACCGTTTTTTTTAGGGCCCACCGAAGCGCGCCCCGAGGCGCGCCTTTTTTTTAGCGACCCCTCGGGTCGCCATTTCCCTCGCGGCCCCGCTGTCCCTCAGACGCGGCCCCGCCACCTCTCCTGATCGCGGCCCCGCCGCCTGCTTGACGCGGCCCCGCCGCCTCCACTGACGCGGCCCCGCCGCCGGCTCTGACGCGGCCCTGCCGGCCCGCCGCTGCACCCTATGGCCCGCCGCCTCACCTGACGGCCCCGCCGCTACACCTGCCGGCCCGCCGCTGCACCTGCCGGCCCGCCGCTGCACCCAGCGGCCCGCCGCTTCACCTGACGGCCCAGCCGCTGCACCTGCCGGCCCGCCGCTGCACCCTACGGCCCGCCGCTGCACCCTACGGCCCGCCGCCTCACCTGGTCGGCCCGCCGCTGCACCCTACGGCCCCGCCGCTGCACCTGCCGGCCCGCCGCTGCACCGGTCGACCCGCCGTTGCACCTGACGGCCCCGCCCCTGCACCGCCCGGGAGCCGAGCCGCCCAACGCCGAGCCGCCCGGGACCCGAGCCGCCCTGCCGCCGAGCCGCCCGGGAGCCGAGCCGCCCTGCACCCGAGCCGCCCTGCCGCCGAGCCGCCCGGGAGCCGAGCCGCCCTGCGCCCGAGCCGCCCAGCCGCCGAGCCGCCCGGGAGCCGAGCCGCTGTGCACCCGAGCCGCCCGGTCGCTGAGCCGCCTTTCTGCAGAGCTGCACGACCTGCCCTGCCTGGTGAGCACAGTCCCACTGACACTGCGAGCTCTTTCCCTACTGCGTGCACTGCGTCGCTGTCGTCGCCATGGCTACCCCTAGTGTCCTAGCTTTTGACGCTAAGGGTCGCGCCATTGATTTTGAGGTCTGGTTAGACGACCTGCAGCTGTTCTTACAGTGCGACAGGGCTGACGACCTTTCTCTCTTTGACCTCACCTCTGGCGCCTCTCCTGCTCCTGCAACTGATGCTGATCCCATTGTCCGCTCTCAGTGGGCCACCCGCGATGCTGCTGCACGTCTTGCTGTGCGTCGCCACCTCCCTACCTCTGAGCGTGCGCACTTTAGTCAGTACAAGAGTGCTCAGACCTTGTACGACGCTGTAGTTGCGCGCTACTCCTCCCCTGCCACTGCTGCACTGAGCCGTCTCATGCTTCCCTACCTCTTTCCTGACCTCTCTGCCTTTCCCACTGTCGCTGACCTCATTACGCACCTCCGCACTAGTGACACTCGCTACCGCGCCGCCCTTCCTGCTGAGTTCTGCGCTAAGAACCCACCCCCCATGTACATCGCTCTCTACTACGTAGTCGCGCGCCTCCCTGACTCCCTTCGCGTCGTCAGGGACCACTTTCTCGCAGTCTGTCCCTCCACCCTCACCGTCGACCTCCTCGAGAAGGCCCTCCTTGCAGCGGAGAAGAGCATAGTCGCTGTAGGTGCTTCTCGTGGTGACCCTCGCACCCCCATCTTTGAGGGGTGCTCTCCTTCCCCCTTGCTGCCCTCTGTTGCCTCTGCTGCTGCTGCCGACCTGCTTGGTCTTGAGTCTGTCGGCGCGGCGTCTACCCCTAGTGGGAGACGTCGCTCCAGCAAGGGCAAGGGGGGCAAGGGCGCGGGTGGAGCTGGAGGGGGCGGTAGCGGTGGCGGCGGTGGCGGCGGAGGGAGTG